GAATTTTTTAAAATTATAATAAACGATATTTTCTTTCTTCAAAATATATATTAAAAAATATATTTTATGTAAGAGATTTGATATGTTATTTTAATATATATTATTTTAATATTATATATTATATATTTCATATTTTGAATGTTTGATCTCAATTTTGTGTCAAGATATCTACCTAATTCTTCACGCTTGATAAACCAACTAACCGCGACTCGTGGTAAGAATTTATGCGTCAAAGGCGATAGAACCTATTAGTGGACAGTTGCGGAGGATTTCGAGAAGAAATCAGTCTCTTACGTTTAAAGCTCTCCTCTTCCTCTTTCTCTTTTTCCCATGAGGGTCACGACACGTCTCTTTATTCGGATGGCACACAAAGGTTTGCGAAGATTACGGGACCGCCAATCCCTCCCCTCCTTCGCTGTATGGATTTTACGAAAGGGCATTATGGCGACACATAGTAAAGTAATATGGAAGGGCATCTCATCCCTGGACAATACGGCGCCTGAGAATCCCTGAATTTTTTTTCTTCTCTCTTTCTTTGTCACTTTTTCTCTCTCTAAATCGCTACGTAACCGCGACTACTTTACGGCAACGTGATTTCGATGTCACGAAAGGCCCATTGGAGTAATGAATAAACTTCTACGTTTTATAATATTAAATATTTAGCCGATTTACGGATTATATAATTAATAATGACATTCCAGAGCAAATAATATAATATAAAATTATAAAATAAAACTTGTGGAGAGCATGGCTTAAAATGGATCCGCTGAAAATTTGAAAAAAGTTCCAAAAATTCTGTTTTTTTTCCCACAGAATTATGAGAAATATGAATAAGATATGAATATTACTGTTACCTGATTTATTATATTTGATTTAATGTCGCTCTAGGTTATTATTATCATCAGTATAATCGTTTTTCAAATTTTCATCTCTATATGTATTCATTAAAAGACCGGGATATTGGATATTGGATATATAGAAATAAACGAGTCATTTTTTGAGAGACATATATTTCAGAAATATCAAGACGTTATTTACATCAGATATGGACAGGTATTATGGGTAGGTATCGGGCATAAAAATAGATGAATCATTTTTTGAGAGACATGTATTTCAGAAGTCAAGACGTTATTTACAGATATAGACAGCCTGACGCATCCGCAAATTAATCTAACGCGAAGCAATCGGATGTAATACAAGTAACGCAAGTTCGAATTTTATCGCGAGATTCGACGAATACAGCAATATCATACATTTATACATACATATGCGCGTACATGCGTTCATTTTATATACAATTTCAAACTCGAGAAACGCTTGAGTGAGTGTAACGCCTTAAAAACCTATGCGATCTCTCGCCATTCATGATAATACATTATATACTGCTTCCGAATAATTATAACGCATACGACATATATTTATTATTATATATTTTTTACGGTTTAGATATATCGGTATCGCTACGCTTTTATGTAATTCTATATCTAGGCCTCTATACATTGCGAGTAGATTTCCATTCCATTGCAACTGAAATACGAAACGATGAAATCGCTTGAGTGCATTAACTTGAATTTAAAATTAAAATTGCAATCTGCCCGAAGTAAAATTAATTGCCGTATCTACGTTATTTCACGCAATTCTTCATCGATTTACAGTGATTGGAAAAAAATGACTAGCGATATTCAATTTCCAAGCAAGAGAGCGAAGCTTTTCTCAGAAATAATATAGTTTACAGTTATCTAGATTCTCTCAAGTACATTCTTATTGCAACGAACTTAACTTTTGATTAATTTTCGAATTACAATCAACTAAAAATTATGTACATATTAATTGAATACAATCGCATTTCGTATCTATTGCTACACGTAAAAGTCATGATTAGAGGTACTCTTCCACTTTGAATTAGCAGAACGAACGCCGAACGATATAATGAGAAATTCAGAATATAATTTGAACAAAAAACTAGACAGACGGATAAATTGCATTATTGTTCTAACTAATAAGGATATCTTACACAATTAAAAATTAAGGTACGTCTCGATTAACTACGTAGGATCGTATCTTTAGCAGATATTTGCTCTTATAATTAGAGTCGCAACATTTAATTGTCATTATCATAAGCGCGTTCAATAACTTTTTGAGAGAGGCTGCTGCTAATACTATTACTGTTAAATACAATTAGATCGGTTGCCTACAGTCAAAGAAAATGGATGGTCTGGTATTACGGAGAGGAGGATATTGTATATATATTATAATATATAATATATATAATATATATAAAACTCGTCAAATGTTATTTGAATGTATTTATTATAGTATGTTTAGTATATAGATTCATTTATCCTACATTTATACTGGCTAATGTCTCAGTGCATAAATTCAAGAACAAGTTGTTCCAAAGCATTTATCATTGACGTTTGCCAAAAGTATGAAACAAAATAAGAAAGGAAAAGAACAGTAAAATGAAAAAGAAACCTCATTCCTAATTAAAAGATCTTATGAAGGCTGAGAGATTTTATAAAATCCTTGTGCTTCAAGCTTTCATAGCTTCCTTTATACACACGATTAATCAGTAAAAGTACATTAGAATTGTAATTTAAGAAAGTTTAATATGGATTATGTGAATAATCTATTTATGAAAATTTTACTGACCGATGAATTGGAAAAAGTGGACTGATCTGTTAATTACCATATTCACCAGATTGGAACTCATTCGATTCTTTTCTGGAGATATTAGTGTAAATTTACTGCAGAACATATTTATAGAATCATCATATCTTGGTTTGTATAAGTAACGATAGTAAGAAATAACAAATCCGAAAATAAATATATGTAAAAAAATATTCTTTTACTTATTTTTTTTACAGATTAATTTTATTATTGAATATAAAATGGAAGTTATGAAAATTTTAAAACCGCATTTTATAATTATTTTGAATATCTCAACTCTGCCTTAACTTTGGTTGTATTAGCTGTATGATTTCTAAGATTAATGTTACAAGATTAATTATTAATGCCTCAGTATATTCAAGGACAAGACAAGTTGTTCCAAAACATTCATCGTTGCCCAGAAGATAAGATAAAATCAAGAAAGAAAGCTTATTTCTAATAATCTAAAATTTAGCTTTTAAAAAATCGGAAAGATAAATGCAAAATTAACAGTCAAGACAATAATTATAATAAATGATAAATTATAATATGTGATAAAATTATACTCTAAAACTATAACTTTATACAAAAATATAATTACAAATAATTATTTATTATACAAATTTATATAACTGTAATATAACTTATTATAATGGAATTATGAACGAATGGACAAATTACAAGAAAATACAAAAGAAAATTAAAGAGTGTCAAAGTCAAATGTTCTGCTGAAATTGATTTCTCCCTCTAAAGAGCGTATAAATCTGTTCACCAACTTAATGTTAGACAAATTGAGATCGTCATATCAGATAGTCTATCATTTAACCTAATCGCGCCTCGCTATATATATACATCGCGCACGCTATATACATATTTATATCACACGAAAGATCGCTCCTGCCTATTGTCTGCTCGCGATTAACGTCGCCGAAATTTTACAGTAATTTACAAAGTATATATGCCCCTCGTTAAAACCTGCTTCTAATTACATGACACAAGTCTATGACTAGAATTCATTATTTAAGTAACTGCAGACGACTAGAGATTTTTGGATTCTACAATTGCTATATTCCTTTGGCAATAATGCACTCGATAAATCCAATCTACGGTTATATATATCGGCTATCCAATCGTAAAATAATGTGACGCTTGTGTTTAATACACATCTAGCAATTAATTTTTCAATACTTTCTCTCTAAGTATTTAAAACTGTGTAATTTTTGGAACTGTAAACAGTGCTCATCAGCTATGTAAGAAGGTCAACGGCTAAAATGTAAGTAAAACATTCATCATTGTCCAGAAAATAAAAGAAGGCTCATCAAATTGCTAAAAATTGCTAGAAATATATATTCGGTATATGCCAGGATATAGAATAAAATGAAAAAAAGAATAAAAAATGTATATTTTTCATTCATCGGCGATACTTAATTTTTTTCGTCAATTATAGATGTGATACGATTGATACACACACACACACGCACACATGCAAATTTATATTTGATTCGGACAACGGTGATGCGCAACCCTGTTTTTCCTGGTGAATGTTATGAGTGAAACTTTATAACGATCTCATGTGCTAGGAAGTGGTTCCAAACTAAGCAAAGAGCTCGAACGAATACGAACGAACAAACTTGCTTCGGTGAATGTGTATGGCGCCGCTAGTACAAACTTAAATTTACATGAACAAATATCTCTTTTCGGTTTATCAAAGGAAAAAAACTCGTTACGCTCACTCATGATTGTCGTGAATGTTCGTTCGTGATTGTTCGTCTTTGTCAAGTTGGTCTGGAGCCACCTTTAGGGAACAAGATTATCTTTAACTTAATTATTTTTGTGCTCTCAAAACTTTCCCTTGACGAGGCCTAAAGGAGGGAAGTGGCTGACTATACTACATATTGTCTCCTTGGAAATCATGAAAAGGTAACATTTCGAAGGAGACGAGAGGGAGAATATGGTCAGCCACTTTTTCTTTTTTTTTTTTTAGATTTTCTTTGAGGAATTTTTTTCTTTTGTATTATTAGCTTCTTTAATATGACTAGCTTTTCCGATATTTATTTTTTGGTATTATTAGCTTTTTTGGTATTATCTTTTGGAATCGATCATCTTTGTACATGCAAGGACTAGAGATAGTTATCTTTGTACATATAAGGACTAGAAATGACTATAGAGTATATTGAAGGGACACTTAATCTCTGACTTAAATCATTTAATTCAAAATTACCTACAAAATTATCTACAAAATATGTAATAAAATAAGATGAGATAAATCAAAACGATAAAGTAGTAATAATAAGATAAAATAAAATAAAGGTAAAATATAACGATAAAATAAACGATAACGAGATAAAACGATAAAACGATAATAGTAAGTAAAGATTAAATGTCCCCCTTTTTAGCAACAATAACAATAATGCTCTTTCTCTTTCATCAAGTGTTGGTTTTCTTTTTCTTATTTCTTCTCTCATTGAGGAACTTTATTGTGATCCCCATGAAAGGTCCTAGAAAGAGCATGCTGAGCGTTTTGATTGTGTACTCATTACATTAATCGTCGAATCAATTAGTAAATAAAAAAAATGTCATCATGTCTTACAAGTCAAGGCCGAATCTCCAGTAAAGCCCGGGTCGTCTCGGCAGGGGTCTCGCCGGAAATTGGTGTCAGGTCATCTCGCTGGTCAACTGATTAGTCGGGACTGTCTGGGCGATGTCTGCTTTGCCGGTCGTTTCTTGGCCATCGACCCCGGTGTTGTTATTATTGCCGCTGCTGACGTTGTTAGTTTCAGGGTGTTGAGTGGCGAGATGTTTACGCAGAGCAGCTTGCCTCGTGAACTTGGCCTCGCACCTGGTGCACGGGATCTCAGCGTTGTTTCCCGACGACGACGTGGATGACGACGTCGCGGAACTGTCAGTGTTGGGTAGCCTGGGTTTATGCCAGCGTCGATGGGACGCCAAATTGGCCGGGCAGGAAAACCGCTTGTCGCACTCAGGACAACGATACTCCACGTGGGCGATTCGGGAGCATCGATGTTGCGCCAGCTGGAAGGCGTCCTCGTGAAGTTGCCGACAAAGCTTGCACTGATACGGTCCGAGCCGATTTTCGATCTTGGCCAGCTCGGCGCGCGCCTCCTCCGTGACCTCAACGATGTTGAAGGCGGGATCGATGTCGCCGGTCACCACCGCCTCGTCTGGGCCCAAGATGACGGTGCCCGATACCGGGCTGCTGGTGTCCTCGTCGAATTTAAGCCGCCTGGCGTGTTTTTTCTTGGGTCTCTGGACGGCGGTCTTCTCGTTGCTGGTCTGCTTCGGGGTCGACAAAGAGGCGCCGGTGGTAGGTGGTCCCGAGGACGGCGAAACAAGATCTTCCTCCCGGACTCTTCTCCTGGGACATTGAGGCGGTGACGGTGTGCTAGGCGGGGTCATAGGCGCGTGCACACTCTGAAGATGTTGCTGCGGTGTTAAAAGTAGCTGCTGATGATAGCTCTGCATCGATTGTAAGTGTGTCGGACTTGCCAAAAGGAGCTTCTGATTATGCAAATGGTATTTTGAAGTGAGCTCACTTCCAGGATACGGCGGCAATCGAGTACTATCTTCGGGAAGATGATGGAGCTTATCAACAATCGAGTCGTGGAAGCGAGATGATTCTTTATTAAGGACCAATCGTTCATAGTGGCTATGATGACTCTGTGCTGAAGAGCTTCTTAAAGTGTCCAGATCGTCCACAACCAGCTGTTGATCCTCTTCACTATCTCCGCGATCTTCGGGATGAGTCTGGACTTCCCCGCGAATTCCGAGATCTTTTTCATCGCCCACTTCAATCATTTCTTCTGTCTTCGGAGTATTCGGTGTCGGTGGCGGCTTCAAGGATAGATCCAAAGGACACGGCGTCGAGGACCTCGAGGACTCCCAGGACAATGACGTATGATGTTCGGCTGGCGGGATCCGGGAGTAAATCGGCGAGGATGGATCTTCCATCGGAATATGCCACGTGGTTGGCGGCGCAGCGTAAGTAGGATGAATCTCTTCGCTGTAGTAGCTCATGTAATTAAGACCCGGGGCCAGGAAGGCCCTCGGCAGAGCGCCGTGAAGCATCTTCACCTACTTATCTATATCTGCCTTTTTCTCGATTTCTTCAAAACTCGCGCTGCGCCTTTCGCTTCTCGCTTTGCGTTTCCATGTCGAGTGGGAGATCTCGCACGACTCGTTGCCGAGGGAAGTACAAGAACGATCAACTGTCACGAGGACACTCTCACTGAAGAAAGAAATGCTGGATTTCTAACAAGGATACTCTTAAGATCTGTTCTCCTTAGATGGTATACGACGTACGTCTTCCCTCGGCTGTCGGACGTCGTGTGGCAGAATCCGCTAGTGCCGCGTCTCGTTTATGCCGTACGCTCCGCCCGGGCAGCCACCGCTCGTCGGATACTCATTGGTCGACGTTTCCACCCTCTTTCTGTACTCTCGCCGAACGCATGCGTATTCGTCCAAATGCGTGACGCGCCTCTTGGCGCGGGCAAACACTACCGAACGGTTGGTGGGGTAAAGAGCTTCTCCTCTGGTTAATCGCTCGCAGGGGTTCCTGTGAAGCAAGTAAAATTTTGAAGGGGACAATAAGGGATACCGATTTTATAGCATTGGTATTAGTGGACCTACATTCTTACGACTTACGACATTGATCAATCTGAATAAATAAATATCTGAATTATAATGGCAGCAATCGAATAAACGCCTTTTCTATTCAAATCTATTTCAATTGCTAACAATAAATAAATTCAGATAAATAAAAAATGTGCCAATATACGGTCGGACTAGATCTTTTGTGTCTAATAATATTTTCGCGTGAATTTATGTACATTTTTCGCTTAGCAAACTATGCGTCGGTTACTGTCGGTCTTGAAACACAGTCTCAAGCTGAAACTAGAATAATACAATCACATATTTAAATTGATAATAATCAATTTAATTATACCAATACTCTCTCTAGAATCACTGCAAAGGATATGTTGCGAAAAATATTACCCCCAGGGTCCGACTGGACCTCTCTATTATTCGAGACAGGTATAATTTGCGCGAAAAATGTACATAAATTCACGTTAAGATATTATTAGACATAAAAGAGCTCGTACATTGGCATAATTTTCTATCTACTTGGATTGTCATATTGGTCAAGTTTTACTTATTATGAAAAATTGCTAGTGTTCTCTAATGAATAAAAGAATGCGTAATAATTAATCATTTTTCTAACTATCGAGTTGTTCAAAATTACCTAAAAAAAATTGCGAACAAATTTATTAATATAATTTTTTTAATAAACAGGAGAGGCGTAGTTAGTATGTAATGTTTTTATATGTAAAAACCGAAAAATATCTAAATCTTTAATATTACAACAATAATATGTTTAAATGATATAGCATAAAGTTATCATAAATGTAATCAATTTGACGCAATATTGAAGTGCAAGATTAAGCCTATGAAACATAGAAAAACATAAACGGTAAGATTTAAACAGTAAGCGAATCGGTTTTAGAATTTAAAGAGAACAACATTTATATATAGCCATGTCGCTAAAGAAACGTTAATATATTCTACATGTTTCTTCACGTATGTTTAATAATGGAACGTACCTGTCTATTTATACTTTCCAATAAAATATCTAATATCACATTAATGATACACGTTCAATATTGCTACGCGACGTTGATGATCAATCATTCAGTCGCTCAGATAAATCGCTTATTATCGAGGCAACTCCTTTCGATCGTGTCTGGAAGAAGCGCGACATATTATAACATTTAAAGTACCGTCGCACGTCTCTCGTGGCATTAAATTTAGCGCGACGATTCGCGACGTTCCATGTTCGTTTTTTTCATTGGCAGCCGTAGAAACGAGTGGATCTTGCGGACGTCGCGGCGGTGGCGGAGATAAGACGTGTTGATAACCCGGCATTACGCGCGTGTTGCCTTTACGCGTGCCGGGCAGAATGATAGGTTTTACACGCGGAACACGGGTGGTAGCACGCCTGTCGAACAAGAAGCCGAAGTATCGCCGCGCGATACCTATACCGTAAAACGCATCCCCGCGACGACGACGCGGCGATCGATCGATTGTACCTGCAAACACCTGCGTATCCCCGGATTCCGCGGGGTATTCGTCGATCTCGCCTCCATGTTCCCGGAATTCGCGGACTTAATCCTGCGCTCAAATATACACATCGATTAATGACTCTGCTGATTATTTATTATTTGTCCGCCAACTATCGCCTTTTTCTTTCTAATAGCCTCAAACAGACGTCGTGCGTCGTGTCGTTTTAAAATAATATACTTTCATTGTTTGCAACATGAGAATTTCATGCTGTCCATGATGAATCGTTAACAATAAGTTGTAGAAATAACATTTCTATTGTTGACTTTATCTTTTTCTTTTCGGAGCACAATGAATGGATTAACGGTCCTATTTTGTGGAATTTATGGTGAACAACACTTGGTGAAAATCGTTAGACACGCTCAGTATATATTCACAAAATAAGACGAAATACAATGGCTACCAATAAGTGAAACAGACTGATACTTTACAAAGCTATTTTACAAAGCTTGCCACTGGAGCGTGCTAATCAAAGTTGCCAAAGACGGCTTAGGCTCATATAATATTGATGTGTAACTTAAGAAAAGCAATAGTTTCCAACAGAGCGATTTTTGGGTTTAGAAAAATTTACATTATCATAATCAGGAATGGATTTTTATTTCTTAAGAGTTAATGACATTTTACCTCTAAAGACCGTTTTTCTCTTTGTGTGATATTCTTTTCTTACAATCAGACAAGCGAAAAATCATTCAACTATCTAGAACGAGATAAAGGGGAAAGCGACGTTTCCTTTTTTCGACGAGAAGATCGCATCGACAAGACGCCGCCGTTGTCCGTCCCGAGGAGACGTCTCTGGTCTCTCGCGAAAAGCGCAGCAGCGTCGTAATCCGTTGATCTTCTTACGTAATTAACAGGCCGCGGCCACGTCCGCCGATTAATCGCCATAAATATTTCCGCGATCCTGATGGACGTGACCGGCGTTGCGCCGATCCGAATTCGTGGTATGCATTTGTGTGCGAATACGGTACGGGGCGTGTACGTGAACGGAGGTCGGACCGATGGTCGATCGGCGCCCCCGAGAGATTTGCCAAGACCGAGGACAATCACGCTATAATTGGACGAGTGGAGCTGTTGAGATGCGCTCGAGAAGACGCCGTCTTGACCCTCTCGAAGACGAGGAACCGATTGACGCCCTCGTGACGTCGTCGGTTGTCGTCGGTCATTATTCTTCGATATCGCTCGAGAGGTCCGGCAAAATTATTGCAGCTTATAATCGACGTTTCACTCGCAAAAATAAGTTTTGAGAGAAACAATATGTTTCTTTGTTTCCATGCATGCGTTACAGCTCTTCTCATGTAGCTTCTGTCCTTGTGATATTTTTTACTTTATCGTATTTTTTCCTTTCCTTCCTTTTTGTATAGATTTGTTCTGAGATGCGATACAGCAGCCTCCGCGATTATAATACAATTTAATACGATAGAAATCTGTATAATAAAAATCTTAGTGAAAGGGAAGAAGGGGGAGTGGGAAGAATGGGTCGATACCTGTCCTCGGTACTTGCGTTCTCATTTCCCGGGATTGATTAGTTGTTATTTTCGATCTCTTCAATTCCAGTTGTTTCTCTATTCCTGTATTTTTGCATTCGGCACAGTTATATTATTACGCCGTTCGGGTAGGGGAAATATTGCAACACGTATCCGGAAATCCGTTCGCGTACATTTGCCCCGCGTAATCTCACTCCCCGTCTCTCTCTCTCTCTCTCTCTCTCTCCCCCTCTCTCTCTCTTTCTCTCTCGCTCCGCGAGCGTAAAATTTCAACGCGTATCCCGGCGTAATCATTCCGCCGGGCGAACGAAAACAAGTGGCAAATGGTCCATTATTATCCGCCAAACGTTATTCGAACTAAATACGGACGGATGTAAAATATAGGCATTAACGCGAGAGCCGAGCCGAGCGAGCGGCTGCAGTCGGTGCGGATTTGCCATGATTATTTGATATCGATGGCGAAACATTTTGCCACGTGTTGCGCTACTGCGCGCGGTGTACAGAATGCGTTTCGCGGAACGTATATGTGCATATATATATTGTATATATATATATAAATGTATATAGATTTATATATATACATACATACATATGAAAATACTCGCGCGATGCATCGCTCGGATTACCCGCAGGACGGGCGACATTAGATACACGTTTGCGCTTTTCGGCCGCGGAATTGTACAGCGAGCTAATGCATTAATTACGTCCGGGGACAACAGTCGGGCGGTCGTGCGCGACGTTAAATTGTAAAAGAATTCAGAATTAGTACATATTTTAGTCCGGCAGAGAGATTGCAGATGACACGATCCGAGATCAGAAAAGAAACAGTCTTCTACATGTTAAAAAATGTTAATCATTGATAGTCCGTGAGTACGCAATCTCTCCTGCAAATTAAGAAAAATCACGAGAAGTGAATCATCTGGAGATTTATTTTGATTAGACAGTCACTAAATTTGCGAAATCCACGAGAAAGTCGACAGATACACATATTGTATCGATTATAGGCATTAAATTTCAGAGTCGGACCAGGAACGACGCGCGATTAACAAAGCAGACGTGCACGTATTCCGTCTGTCTTGTCGGAATTGTCGTTTTACCGCCTGTGCTAACAATAAGTTCCTATTAAACCACTCCGATACCATTATAGAGACATTTCCCAATCGCATCGGCACCGCCCGCGCCGGCCGATCTCCCGAACGAAGGAGGAGACGGGGGCAAGATCTCCTAGCCGTTGCGGAAGCGCGACAGAGGGATCTCCTAAATATCTCGCAAAAGCGGGAACCCTCTAGTGCTCGTCTCTCTCTCTAGCGCCGTCGGCAGAGGGAGAGAGATATACGTAGTACACGGCTTCCAGGACGAGCGAGTAAGCTTTTTGCCTACGCGGATGTAGGCGAGTACTCTCTCGTCCGCTGGTATGGAGGGAACGGGACGGGGGAGGGTGGCTCTGCATATTTCATGCGATTTTAATGTGTCTCCGCTGGCGCTCCGCTCGGCGAACACCCGGTAGAACCTGGGAGGGAAAGAGAGAGATAGAGAGAAAGAGGCCGTGTGCCACCACGTTGCACGGGGCAGGAGTGACTGCCGTGATGCTCTAATCGGCTTACGCAACAAGCCACCCTTATCCCCGGCCTCGGTCGCTCTCTCGTTTCCACCCCCGTTGTCCCCCCCCCCCCCCCCCCCCCCCCCGCCCCCTCCCCCCCCCCCGCTCCCCCCCCCCCCCCCCCCCCCCCCCCCCCGCGGGCCCTCTGCCGACGCTCCTTATCCGCGCCGGGCCCTAAACGACGGCTATTACTTTGCGGTTGCCTCACTCCTGTATCCTTCAAGGACTCCAACGGCTCCTGATGACGGAGCAGCCGACGAGGGGTGAGAGGGAGCCGCGCGTGCATCCCTCTGGGTTTTCCGCGGAAAGTTCAATTAAAAAGTAGCCTTTCATCGACGAAACTGCGAGGTTTTCCTCGGAAGATACATACTGTGAACGCAGATACATATTTATATATGTAAAAAAATTAATATTTGCCCTTTTGCAAAAAATAGGATACAGTCAAATATTTAATACCGAGATATATTTAATTTATATATTTTAAATGCACGAAATATCTCGATATTTATCAAATTGACCGTGATATATGTCTCATCAATAATTTTCTGATCAGGGAAGTCATCGCGTTCCGGGAAAATCGTCCAGCTTAATTCAAAGCTACTCTGTTTGCCCTAATCAAGTCAGCTTGCTGTCGATAGAATCCTCCTCGGAGGTCGCGATTTCTGGGACACGGCGGACATCTTTGAGGAGAAGGGAAAAAATCGGGATCTATCTCGCCTAGGAGATACAAGCACGAATACCGTAACAGTCGCAACGCTACGCGGTTAAACGAATACTTTTACAAGGGAAGATTTTGCGTGTCTGAACGTATCCGTCCGTGCGGCGCGTGACGCGGCCGCGGCGCGGTGCGGGCGGCTGCCCTGCCCTACCTTCCATGTGTGTTTGCCCAGCACGCGAGGGGAGTCCGCGCTCGGTTGCCCTAGGCCAGAACGTGCATTATTGGATAGAGTTACGTTAAACATACGCGCGCCACGCGCTTCCTCTCGCCACCGATGCCGGTATCCTCGGCTCGCGAGCGCGTTACTCGCGCCGTCGAGGATATCGGATGAACACGGACGGGTTTGCCGCCGACAAACACACGTTTGTATGTCACGTACGCCATCGCCGTCGCCGATGAACGTCCGCGTATCTCTAACCGACGGCATGCCTATCCTCCGTAATTATCGTATTCAGCATCGTATACGTGGGGATCTGATGATGCTGCGCTTTTTTTCTACCACAGGTTGCCCAGGAAATGTGGACGACCGATCCTTGTCTTTGTAGTAAAAGAGTTTGATGGAATGTGTCAGTTAATTCGTCAACATGACGCCTCGATTATAGAGAAAGAAAACTTCACAGTTCACAACTTGCAAAATTTTTTTTTCCCCTATAAGTAGTTGAACTGTGACGAATCCGGAATCCGGATGACTTTAATTCCCGTCCCTGTAACCCGAGAATAGCCACGAGATGTTTTTTTCGACAGAGTAAACGACCACCCGGGGTAAATTCTATACCTGGTAAATTTCAATCAATGGGTACGATGAATACTATAGCAATTAAGTTGATATTTTTACTTTCTAATGAATGTACAAGTCATAGTTCTTTCATAGCTCTTTCAAATAAAAGGTATTCTCGATTAGTACAAAGAACTATTATATTTTATTTTTCCAACCCTGAGATGTAAAATTACACATCCAGGTAACGTTACCTATTCTCGGGTTAAATAATTCTACTAACAGTTCGCTCCTGTCGGATTATGTCCAGAGAAAACGTGAAACCGAACCGCCACCCATCCGTCGAACAAGTCAAGTTCTATATATTTAATTAATATTAATTCTGTATTTAATATTCCACATATACACTATATCTAATATTTAAAACTGTATAGCTTTAATTTTTTATATATACTAATATCTAATAATTAAAATTCTATACGCGTGTAAAGGGGCAAGGATGACGTGTGAATGATTTAACAAGAGCCTGTAAGATTCTAAAGATTTATTTCAATTTGCATACATTTCAAAAGATCATCGATGTTATAATTAATTCGGCAATTACATGCAGATCAAATCGAATCGAAATTCGCTATCTCAGCAGATTGTATAATACGTACTTATGCGCGGCATATATGTGTATTGTATTTCATCCTCGTGTGTAGATAGCTGCAAGGGATATCACCGGCGCGTCGCTCTGTCTCGATGAACACTATAGCTAATTTTTTGTCGTATCACAGAATCGTGTTTAGTCATTTGGTTGCAATTTTAACTCGGTAGCAAGAACGATCTCTAGATTATTATCGATAATTCGGTGCGTATATCCTTGTACATACGCACGTCGCACGCACGCAAGAGTGGCAGGAGAATTCGCGTAATATTAATAATAATATCGGACGATCGAGGTGTTATACCTGTCGACAGCGTCGTTCTATCGACGAGATATTAACAAAGCTCTATTTAGAGAAAAAATTCTAGCGGAAGCAACAAGAACTTCTTCGAGGAAGTTTTCGCCGAGCGGATCGCCAGGTGTTCCTCAGAACGATTCAATGAAAAATTGAACACGGGCGAATCTCCTACGCTGTCGTTGTCTGTGTACTAACCTCTCCGGACTTCTTTTTATTTTTTCTTTTTCTTAAATTCTTTTCCTTTCCGTTTTTGGCGCAATGTAATAGATTATAAGATTAAAACTCTATTGTTCATGCAAAAATTCTTAAAATTGATTTTATAAGTGTATAACTGGTTTAGAGAGAGAGATATGTATATATGTACGAGTCGCTACCATTAAAAAGGCACAAATGTAAATAGCTACAAGATCAATGATTATTCCGTAATTATCACAAATATTTAAGAGAAAGCGCCGTATCCTATATCTCGCTTGCGAAAGAGAGAAAAAGTATTATATATATATATTAATATAGTAATATATGTATGATTTTTCAGCGTAAAAATTAAGACCTAAAGTTTTGAAACGCGTAAGTTAGGTCTTCCGTTTAAATAAACGGACACTATAAACTCTATATACGTATCGTAGATTTCAAATTGGAAATGGTAAGAGAGATAAAGCTTAAGCGACATGTTATTCGTGGGAAAGAACGTTCAAAAGAAATTAGAGCTTTGTAACGCGGCAGCTGGACCCTATTTCCAAAATTTGGCACATGCGACTATTAGCACGTATCTTGGAACAAGCAATTTTCAACGTTTAATCCAGAAAATATGTCTGAGTAAAATTTTTGATGTGAATAATGACCATCAAGCCTCGAATGTCCTTACAATGCCTTCGGCAAACCAACGTTCCATTTATGACTTCACCTATAAGACGAATATAAATATGTATTATTTTAACTACGATAATTGTATTTTATTTTGTTTTGAACTGTAATTTTAAATATCTGTATTTATATCTCAATTTATCTCTCCTTCCGAGATAATCGATGAGATAACATATAAGAGACTAGACAAGAATTGAGATATGCGTTACTGAATATTCTCGAAAAATCGTCAAAGTTATTAGGAGAACATGTTTCTAGAGAAAGTTATAAGAGGTTGCGCGAACAAAATCTGATTTAAATTTCGCGGACTCCTAGATAAAGTAGCTACCTACTTTGTCAATGATCGGAAAGTGATTAATTACTTTATCTGAAAGGCGCGAAATTTGAATCGAACTTGGTTGCACCACTTCTTGCAACCCCTTCTATAGAAACATGTTTTGCTAATAACTCTGAGAATTTTTCGAAGATATTGTGAGATGTAAATCTTTCAACTATCGCTTAATCTCTTATCTAATTATCTTAATGAGAAATAAATACAGATATATAAAAGTATTATTTAAAATTAAGTAATTAATAATAATTATCATTATAAATTTTTATATAACAAAAAATACAATTAATTATAATTATATTTTATTTTGAATGATATTGTAAAATAGTTAATATAATAATTTGGTTATTAGCTGCATATTCAATATTATATTAGATATTTTAAAGTGTCATTCAAAATAAAACATTACAATTATAATGTTAACTGTATATTAATTTATAATTATAATAAAATTAAACTATAATTTACCTTCAGTTATGCTGATGGGTTCGCTTAAAGAAAATACTGTCTGTTTCCAATGTGTCGGCGTGGAATGGGGACCTGTACTGAAATGAACCGGATTCTCGAGATCGAAGAAAATGTCGAAGTAACCGATTATCGCGGTTAACGATCCTGTTTTCTTCACGTTCAACGTGAAGGGAGACGAAAAATTGACGCAATCCGTAGTAACTTTATATAAGTCAAAGGCTTGGATCTCGGTGGTGCTTGTTATCAAGTCGTCGACATTACAGATCTCTATACTGGGTTCCCGCAGCACTTCCGTTTTCATACAGCTCATTTTAAAACCGTATACGTTTGACCAGTAATCAACTAACTCGATATATCTTTCTGCGAAACAATAGTTATCTATATAAAATAGCTTGTCGAATGATTGAATATATGATTAACATATCTAAACGTACTGCAATGTAAGAATTAAAACACATGTAACACATACTTGTGTCACCACTTCCCACAATACTAATTGTGCATCTGTTTGGAAGAATTGCCCCACCAGTTGTGAGATAATGGTCCCTAGCATAAATTACTGTGTCCAGCATTCCTTCGAACAAGAGAAAGTATCCCATCCATTCGGATATTATCGCATCCACTTTCTCTACTCCTATACTAATATCCTCCAGACGACCCCTTTTTAAAGTGATTATGTCGTTGAGGTTGTTCTCCCTAAAATCAATTTATTTATTTTATTATTACATTTTCTTTGCATGGGACCTAATTGAAAATAGGCATTATCTAATTTGCGATCTTTAAATAACATACAATTTATCGTCGTATATACCAGGGTTGGACGTTTACGTATAAAATATAATAATCTACGTGTATACAATGCAAACTATTAATTAATGTGTCATCTATGTAAATAATAAGTGATCTATGCTAAAAAGAATCAGCAAAGATTTATATATTTCAGAAATATCGGAAATTTGTGAGAGTTGCGATACAACCCTGGTACATACTTAAGTGTACCTTACTATATCCATAGCGTGGTATATCACGTCAGACTGATCGACACTGATAACTTTACGGCAACCAGATTTTGCCGCAAACATAGACAGTATACCAGTCCCGCAACCAACGTCCAACATCACACAGTCATGGAATTTATTAGAATTTGTTAATAATGCGTCACGGTAACTTTCCGTTCGCACTTTATCCTAATAAAATATATATTTATCACTTTTTGATAGATCGACATTGATGAATATTCTGCCTTTGAAGAAACTTTGGAGAAATACAAAATTTCTTCAACTTCAGCTTGTTTATTCATCGTGATCTTACAGTTCTAAATATTACATTGTGGGCAAATCATCATTGAACGGAATCGATCTAAATTTATATCGATCGGAATTTATCAAAACTTACAGTCAACATTTCGTGATGTATGGCAAAATGACTGTACGTATTGAAGTAGCCCTCATCAGTGTTAGAATTATTAGCCGGAATATTTTTTTCCTTTTCGTCCAAATCATCACCTAGTATTAATTTTTGAGCCTTCTCTTTCATCTCCTCCATTTGCTATAAAAAAATACTTTCTTACATTAATATGCTATGCTATATATGGAAATACGTTTAATGATCTTATTACTATACCTGCTTCACTAGAAAACACGTTGTTTCGCTTTCCTTCACCTGAGACTTGAGCGACCTGATGGTTCTTTTCATCTCTTCATATTGCGCTTCTGACAAAATCACATTACTGTCGCCCTGACATATTTGTTTTGCTCCTCTTTCTTCATTCACGTTCTTAATGTTGATGAGATCTTCAATATCTGCGTTAAAATAATAACAAATCAGTACCTGATGCATGTAACATCATTGAGGACAAAAGGATCGCCTTAGTTCCCCAAAAGCTCTCTTTATACTTACCATACATTAACCACAGATCATCTTCCACAACAGGACGTAAATACTCATCATTGTCCCAAGCCTCTACGCCTAGGGTACTCAGCTGTTCCGGCAAAATCTCCTTGCGACGAACAAAATTGATTAGTTTGATATACGAGTAAGTGTCGTGAATGTGTTTCCTTATAAAATCACTGAGGTCAAACTTGTGAAATGTCTCAATGTGGTGCAGCGCGGAGGAAAATCCGTTAGCAGTTTCTGTACAAAACAGGCACGAAATGTCGTGGTGATCCTCACCGTTTTCCTCCCAATCATCTCCACTGTCACTGTCGCTTGACATGTCGTTATATCCTAAAATATAAAACATTTACAGACGCGTTCAATTAAATAGAAAAAACGACGAGTAACGAGTAACATACATGTATGTATGGCATTAATAGTAGTTTAATAATGAAATACATCCTTTTTTTTTTAAACACGCAAAAACAAACGTTCTATAATGATTAGAAATACTCCGATAAGAAATACATTATTTACACTGCATCAATTAATCGCTCGGCTTTTTTGCCGATCGCCACGTAGGACAGATTGATTCTCTGTCGTTTCGCGATTTATTGCGCAAGACTTTCATTAATGTTTTACCTAATTTTGCCATGGTAAGCCTCCTCCACTTGCGATGTTAACCACAAAACATTCACGAGTAACCTCGTCGTGCGAGTCGAGCACGTGTCGATGTCGTCGATAACTGACGCAGTCTCTCTTTCTCTTATGTCGAGTTCATACGACACGCGTGTTACAATACCAAATACGTCAGCAAAGCCAGTGAACATGTAAATATTCACAAAATTAGTTTAATATAAATAAATAATATAAATCTTATTTAACAATGTTAATAACTCATTTTTCTTTTAGATGAGTATTTGATTATATTCTTTTGTCTCGGATTAATGTAAATGTGATAAAAGAATTGAATTGAAAATCTGTTGTCAGGAATGGGAAAACAATTTGTAAAATATGTAATTTAAACATGAGACGCTATAATTAAAATATAATATGTTACAGTGTTTCTATATTACAACGGTTTATTATAAAAGCATTTTATAAAAGCATCTGAGCTTTTAATTAAACATAAATATATATATATATATTAAGTATACACATATAAAATAAAATATTTATTCTACAATTTTTTTCCGTAACCGCAATAGAAATGTAATGTCATCACGAGTCAATGATAAAATATTAGATACAGGCACGATCATGAAAGAAACGTTGTTGTCGATCGAGAATCCCTGTCGAGCTCGCAAACGTTCGACGTTTGACGCTTCACGAAAGTCACAGCAGTTTCGTCATCCTCCAGTTTCCTCTTCGTGCCTGCATTTTCGACTGACGTGGGCTTGTTAATCTCCTGATATAAGTTTTGCGCGACGTGAAAGTCCACGTGTTCGTTGAACCTTGTTACGGGTATCATTTGATCGCACTCGGCGCACCGCTCTAGAGGCACATCGTCCGAGTTGGTCTTGATCAGGAAATTATACAGGGGACTGCGCCTCTTGCCGCTCTTGCCTGCGAGTTTGGACTTGCTGGGTCTTCCTCTTCCTGCCTTCGGCAATTCTCGAATGACCTTAATATTTTCCTGCTTCTTATTATTCGATTTCATATATCGCCTTGCTTCTTCCTGTAAATCGGCCGGCAACAGGGACAGGATGTCTGGATCTATATCATCCAAGTTTGGAAATATCTCTCGTAATCGCACCGAAGGATTTTGCGCGGAAGTTCTCTCGTTACTCTCCTCTATAGGTTTCTCATTGTTGCTGTTTACAGGAGCAGGTACGTGACTCGTGGAAGGTGTCTCACCATCCTCTTGTATGCGTAAATCTGTATTATCATCTGTATAATCATCAATGTTCTCATCATCCGCACTAGATGCGATCAATTGTTTCCTACATTTCGATCCCTCCCCAGTAACAACGTTTTTGCTATTATTGTAGCATTTCTTCTCTCCTGTCTTATATACGTTCATAAAGAATGAATCTTGGAAATCGTTCTTATCTATTACCACACCAGATAAACGTTTATTCTTTCTCTTGTCGCGCTCATTGCATACTTGGACCAGCTTGGAAACTCTTTTTGACATAGGCGAATCCTCCGTACTCGTATTTAAGTTATTGACGATTCTTTTATTTCCTTTCATCGTCCCTTCATTGTTCTTCGCGGTGGATTCTTTGACCACGGAAGATTCTTCCATCGTTTGAGATTTCTGTCTTTCAGGTTTCAATGAACAAACTTCTTTGCTATTGACAGTAGCGAAAGGCTCTTCTTTCGTTTCTGAACTAGATGCAGAGTTCGTCGCATCTCCAAGCGAATCTAAAATGACGGCTTCCTTGTCTTTCGGTTTAGCATTTTTAAAAAATTTCAGAAAACTACCGCTTTCTTTCGATGGCACGAATTTAGTGACAGAAATGCCCATGAATACTACCGGGCACTGCGTGGACTTGGTGACAACGTCCACGCATTGACTCGCCATTTTCTCCGGCTTGTACGAGTTTAAGGCGAGCGAACGCGTTTGAGATATAATATTTTTGTTCTGATAGTAATGATAAGAGATTACGAGTAGCGTTGCACGTCGCTGATTATCTATAAAGTCTTCCTCAAGCCGTTCGCAGACTTCCGCTGCCAAATCCCCGGCCCAGTGTTTTAACTAGACATAAAATGTGTACTTCTCATATAATACGTTTTTTAATAAATTTTATATAATATTAGGAACTATTTAATTTTTACGACTTTACCACTTCCAATGAGGTAATAGCTTGCTTCCCAGGAAACTTTTTACACGCCCCGATGGACTTCTGCAATAGTCTGTTAGTGACAGGCTCGTCATCTATACCTCGAGCAATATTGTACAGCCAAAATCTGAAGAATTACGAGAATTGTCAGAAATTATAAGTTACAAGTTACTATTGTGAAACTTTGTGCAAACATAAGAAAAGCTTCAGATTTACCCCGTTTTTTCGTCAAAGCGCTTTTGTAATTGTTCCAAGGAGTATTGCAGTAGATCTCCCATAACGTTGCAACCGAGAGACTCGACCACGTCATCGCCCAACTTTCCACCGAGATTTCGGACCTTCTTTACCGGAAGTGTCGAATAAAGGCTTGGAATAGCTGCTTCGGGTAAAATCGTTTGACAATTCGGTTTGTGTAATCCGCATGACAGTTTTGCCAATATCTATAAGTTGATTGAAACATTCAATTAATATGCAATTTATTGATATATATGGTGCATGGCAAAATACAGAGATATGAAAAGAGGATTAACCTTGTTCTGTGCAATTCCAGCAGAGCATCTGAATCCGGTTTCTGTGTATATACTATTTCTTATCTCTTCAATTATTACGCCAGCTACGGCGAGTCTCTGAGCTTGAACGTCGTGCATTTCTTTAAAAGAGTCCAGTATCCAAGTCTGTAGCCCCTGACGTCTCTCCTCTGGAATGATAATACATATGTGGTACGCGCAATGTCCAAGTTGATCATGCCAAGCGTCAGCATGCAGTTTATTTAACGTTACCTTCATTATTTTTACCGACTTCCGAATATCCTACGACATATGTGTTTGCAAGAGACGATATTAGTTCTTTTGGAGGGATTTTAGATGCGGCTAATCTCTTATCGACAATATCCGTAACGTCAAGATATGCCTCATCAACACTGGCACGCTCTATTACATTACAGTGCTTCTTTATAACTTCGATAACCTGGTGACCAGCTTTCCTGTATCTGCATGTGATGACACAAATTATCAAACAATTCTTTATTATTGAAACTTTGAGAAGATATTATAATAGAAACAAAAGTTAAATAAATTGAGTCATAAAATACAAACAATATTACATTTGTCAACATTTTCTCTAACTGCAAATCATTACCTGGACGTATCTGCTTTTCCGCGAAGGCATGGAACGCTGACTAGAACTATATCCGGACATTTCTCTTTAGCTTCTTCGCCTCTCATATGCCTAGTTACTCCAAAACTCCGCGCTTCGTAATTGACAGCTATTATCCTGCAGCCAACCATAAATGTCATTGACACAGTCACATCAAACTTTAAAGTTAGTAAATACAATTTTTATACGATAGGATTGTGATTTTTATGAGGATTGTGATTCTCTTCAATGGAGATAAACCTTTCGGCAAATATATATATCAAATACCAAAATTTATCATTATAAATTTCATCTAGCTACTACAGCAACCGATTTTTTTTTATTTCAAGTCTAATTGGAAAAACGTTTGTTACAGTGGCTGGACAAAATCCACGGCATTCTTACCCGCCCATCTTCCATTGATTGTACTGGACGACGGCGAGGGGTTTCCCGGCGTGATGCGGTTGCAACTTGGTCTCGACTTGACAGAAGAAGCAGTCCATGTCGATCAGGACGACGATCCTGTTACCCGGATTCGCCATCTCGCCGAGACGTCCACGAGACTGATTAACACGCTAATTAAGATTGTATCGAGAATGTTGCATCGAGGCACGATTTGTTATTCCCGAGTCATTTTATCGTCGACGTTCGGTGGATTCATCTTAACGCGACTCTGGCTAGTCCGGCTACTCCGGCTCGTGCAAGCTCGTGCTCGTATTTACTCGTTTACTGAACACTGAACGACTGAACAGCAACAGTAGCCATTTTTTGGCGGGACACGAGTCACGTGGCTCGTGGGTGAATCACAAACCAGACAACGTAAAAGACGGGAGATCTCATCACTCGCTTAATTCGAAACTGATTCACTTTTTTTAACTTTATTTAATTTATCTCTTTGCTATCCATGCTAATGCATGGTGTAAAAATAATTAAATTAACTACAATTATCTGAATGACTCATAACCCTTTTCAATTGCATTCCGAAAGCCTTCATGCTGACTGTGACAGTCCCCGGTCCCGGTCTAAAGTTCCACGGTTAGCTTCTAAACGCGTAAAAGAGTTACGGTGCGGTCTGCGATCTCGCTTCGCGTGTACTTGGCGCGAGATACTATACCGTGTCTTTTGATCGAATTAAACCCTGTTTCGCCGTTCCCGCACCGTCTAATTGCCCGAGCTGCCCGAGCTGCCCGAGCTGCCCGAGCCAGGAAAGTGATGACGAGCATGTCGCGTCGCGGCGCGAGCGTAGGCGTAGGGTTGTAGAGTACCGGAATCAAAATCAACTCTGGCGCCTGGCGTTTTCGTCTCAAGACTCAAGGGAATCGACGACAGGAATCGCGGAGGGGTCGTTCCGCGAGGGGAGGTTTTCGCGGCAATCTCCCCTTCCTCCGCCTACCTCGGCTACCTCTTTCTTTCCCCCCCGTTTGTTTACGCACGCGATCGCGTCGTGTGAGCGGTGTGAGTGTGAGTCGTGTCGCGTGCGTGCGGATTGCGCCCTGTCCCCCTGTCGTGTCCCGTACTGCGCGGTGTAATATCGTGCCGTATCGCGTTGTAACGTATCGCGGAAACGGCATGCCCAGCAAGAAGAAAAAATACAACGCTCGTTTCCCAGCGGTAAGCGAATCTCATCCTGACTCCGTTCGGTCTCTCGCGTCCAGTCGCGGAACGCGCGTCGACGACACGGAGAGATGAGGGAGAAAAAAGGGGGGGCGAATGCGCCGGAACTTAGAGCCCGCTCGTCGTCGACTCGCGTCCTCGACGCCGATCGTCGGCCACCGTGACGAGGAACCGCGCTCCCGAACGTCGCGGTCGCCGATCGGACGCGTTGTTCGCGTGACATAACCTTAAACTCCGCGTGTTTGTTGTCAGGGTCGTATCAAGAAGATCATGCAGACGGACGAGGAGGTCGGGAAGGTTGCCCAGGCGGTGCCGATCATAATCTATATCCTTTTTCTATATCTCTTTCTTTTTCTTAGTAGTCGAGGAATACATCCGTTTCATTTGATATGCTTGTCAGAGTCTGATTGTTCCTTAACAAAGCTTACCTAGGACTCTAGAACTGTTTGTACACTCCCTGTTAACCAAGACCATGCAGATCACGAGTGCCAAAAACGCCAAGACTCTGAGTCCGTCTCACATGTGAGTAAATCAATATCGTCATTCAGGCCTGTCCAAGTTGTATATCTCGTATTCAAAATGCTCGTAAACTTTCCACGTGACAATTGATTGTTCTCAATGCATAGATATAATTTCCGTTGTTGCCTCTGTCTCTTGGTGAGACGATGCGACAGAAAAGTGTTTTATTTATGAATACTTGACAGGCCGTGAAATAAAGGAGTCTTCCCATGTATAACAGCTATTATATTTGCAGGAAACAGTGTATCCTGTCGGAGAGCCGATTCGACTTTCTAAAGGATCTAGTAAAATCCTTGCCCGACGTGTCGGGACCTGACGACGAGGTACCTATGTCACCCGAGACTTCTGCTCCATTGCAAATCAATGCGCCAAATGCAGCCACCGCGTGTTCAACGACGATGCAGCATCTCGACCCATTAGAGTATGTTTCTCGGTGATTTGCCTCGCTGACAATTTCACGAATAATCACGACTTATATTTCTCCAGGTATCAAAAGCATCTGGGGCTGCCAGTTAGCATCGAAATGAATGTAAACCACAGGGGCGCGAAAGACAACGGATCGAGCAATTTGAATCCCGCTAACCAAAGGGCCGCGACGATGGTGGGCGGGTATTCGCAGGTTCCGGAATTCCACACGTCTATACCTACGGCCTTCCAAATTAGTCGACCAAATTTTTATACGGAACTTAACCCGAGTGCGGGCGATCAGCCGACATCGAATTTCGCTCGCACTGCCAACATCGACGAGGATTACGACACATAGTAATCTCCTTGCGAAATTTAGGAAGTTAAAAACTTGTCTTATCGAACGTGTGACGCACGGATTAGCTGAAGTACAGTAGAGAGAACGCGCGCGTGCACACAGAAGCATCTTACAATTGCTCACGTCACTTGTAAAGTAATGTTTAATACTTCAAAATTGAGACGATTCCTTATTTGCTCGCATCTCTTTTTATACAGGATGTTCCAGAGCTACGTTAAATAACTAGGATTATTTATTTATAATCTTATTTTTTTCATCTACTTTAAGCAGATTTATTTAAATTAAAGGCAAACACTGTCGCAAATAAATGTCTTTCATCTAATCATTGCTCACAGATATACGTTGACATCTTCCGCGCAATTGCGTTATAAAATTACGTAAAATAGAGATTATCGCGTCAGACCCGTCAAATTTAGTTTTCCTATTAAAGTAACATTCGTTTATAGATTGTATGTGTGTGTATATGTATAATAATACGTTCTATACATATATATTTTTACAATTATATTATTTCATGTTGATTTGTACTTTGAGATATCTGTATTTGCTCTCTTTACTTTTTTTTCCAAGATAATTAAGATAATGAATGAAAGAGAAAAAAAGAGAGTTGAAACGCGTATCTTTCGATGGATTTGTCAAATCGTTAAAATTATTAGAGGAACATTATTATTGTGGCAAACAGTCAAGTCACAAGAAGTGTCATGAGCTAAATACAAATTTCGCTTTCTGCTGAAGCTGATTGTTTTATCAACTTGAAGCGAGTGCGAGATTTGAATTGAATTTAGTTCACGTTGTTTCTCTCGTAATTTCTTAGCGAGTCGTGTTCTAAGAATACGGACGATTTTTGGGGGATGTTGAAGACCTTCTAAAGAGGATCCCTAAAAGGACCCTTTAGAAAGGATCTTGTGAAGAGTTTCTAATATCCTTCAAGAATCAAGTTCTTAGAAAAGCATGTCTCGCTAATGATTCTTAAAAGAATGCTTTAAAAAATCTCTAGAAGAATCTATTGGGAGATGTATATTCCAACTATGGCTCGATTTTTTTATCCGATCATTTTGGAAGCACAGACAGATTCGTATAAATACAGACATCGTGTGCAATCTAAAATGAAATAACGTTATTGTAATACCTGCATAAGAATTTTATTCAAATGATACGTCAGAACTCCGTGTCCGAAACTGGACGATTTAAACATTATAATGTATGTTTACGCAAACATATTGTATAATCGTTGTAGCTATTACGAAATCGTCTCTGATGAATTGTTGCTGTTTATGTGAACACAATCGTGTCGTTAATCATAAAGCATGTTTAGATGGAGAAACGTAACAAGAAAAAGATTACAACGATTAATCCTACAAATCGCGTATCTCAATTGATGCACCGTATAATTTCGACGGTGATATGTGTTTTATTTATACATTCTCCCAATGTAGCGTTTTTCCTATCTTATTTTTTTACAATTTTATAACTTCAGCCTACGACTTGTTTCGAAAAGAGAAGAGCTGTGGAAGTTTAATAAGATTATCACAGAATCGTCCTTGACGATGATCGAAACGATATTTCCTAATGGGAAGTAAAAAAAAAACGACGAAGGGCTAGTACGCGTTAGATATGTATCTAACACGACTTCAATTACAAAATCGACGATTATGTCAAACGCAAAGATCAAGGCTGCATTTCGATATTGACCGTCAGCAACTGTCAGTACTGAAAATCTATTATAGTATACGTGACGTAAAATATAGAAAAATATTTTCAGTACTGACAGTGAATATTGGAATGCAGTCCAAGTAATTATGTAAGACCGATCGATTACCCAGTTTATAATATTTAATATTCGATTACATTATTCTCTTCGAGTGTCTCTTCTTTCTTTTTCCAGTCCATCAATTGCATATACAATAAAATGGAATAAAGAGTTTGCGCTACTTCAATAGTTTTTGAAATAATAGTTGACCTGTTGCATCTAAGACCTTGGACTTTGTGCAACCTTTACACAAAAATATCTTGTCGCGAGAAAAAAATAGCTGCAAAAAGTTTGGATTTATTTATCCACTCAAATATCTTAAAATCCATAAATTTAAAAGTGGATATATACAGACTTGAGCACGAACGCGAATGAGGCAGCCCGAGGCCATACCGAATGCCTTGGAGTTGTCAGATAGTAAAAGGGCTCGAGGACGCATGAGGCAAGTCGAGGCAACTGTTCGACTTTGCCTGCTGTTGCTAGTCGAACGACCTAATCCTTCTCCTCCTCACCAGTGCTTCACCCTCCACAGCCTTGTGTTCACTTCTTTACTTCCGTGGAATCACCACTTATACGTGCTTGGATACGTCCAAAGTGTCCAAACTGAGCACGAATTTTCTTTGATGGACCGACAGCGATCGGGCTCGGGCCGAGGCTGTGCGGCGAACGATCCGAGGCAATTTGTCGCGCCTCGGACCAACGTCCACACTTGCATGCTCAAGTCTGTATCTGCCTTTAAAAGGAAACTTTTTCGACAAAAGTTGTTTATCTCTTAGGTGGGCAGATAAGTGTGCCCTTGATTAATCTCGAAAATATGTGAAAGTTAGGTCAAGATCATCTATAACATTTACGAGTGGAAACTTTTGTTTTGATGTATTTGATAACTGTTCTCGAAAATCTTTTCAAAACGCTATATATGTGTCCTTCGCATAAATATATTAATATTTCCGAATGCATCGCTGATTTGCTATAATAACGATGTAATTCAAAAATTGTCACTTTTGAATTATTTGCAAAAGAATGATGAAAATTCAATGCACTGAATGAAGAGCTAATATATAACTAGATACTTTTATTCCTCTAAAATCAATTATTATACCAAAATCACATTTAGTAATGACAATAATATAAAATTTTAATGATTCAAAACATTCAAACTCATTTTTTGGAACTTTGTTTTTTTTTTTAGTTGTTGCAACAAATGAACAATTATATTTTCATTTGATCTTAAAAATATGTAATATACGTATTTGCAGAAATATTTCCGACAAGATTGTCTAATAATAAGACGCTTGATTTCGCGATGGCGCACGCGAATGCCGAAAACATTTCGATGTAATTAATCATCACGATGCATTTTTTCGCAACTATCGCGAAGAATTTTTTTCAATGTTATCGACGCCGACACTTGACGTCACTGTTCGAGGATTTATTGTCAATGATATCGCCGATTGTCCACTAAATTATGAAGGTAAGAAAGGTCGTGTAAAATACGTCGACAGCCGCGAGCCGTGTAATCGCGCGTCGGGGAGCGCGAACGCGTGCTCGCGCTCTCCGGCTGCCTCCTCATCTTTCTCGGTATCGCGACTTTCGGAGATTCGTGTCATTAATAAAAACAATTCGCGGCCTCGCATACGTGAGCATACGAAAAGCGGATAAGGATGAACCGCGGGATGAGGAAGGCGGAGGTTGCAACTTACGGAAACGAAATCGGACTCGCGTATGGAAGTAGGATCTGCTGGAATTATTCGGTTTTAGTTTGCGCCACGATCCGAGACCAATAAAATCTCCTCGGAAGAAATGAGAAGGGTGGGAATCCGCGGGCTTAATAAAGGCGCGCGGGAACATCCTGCGACTATTTAAAGGGATACGCTTCCTCGCGTCGCATTGTTGCGCTTTACTTCCGACTTCTTCAATATATTATATATACTTATTATTTCTTTTATCAAAGGAAAAATTCATGAATTATTCAGTCTCTGTTATGCGTTTCGTTCAACTTGTCGATATAATAGTGTTGTATGAATTAATGGTGTGTTCACTTTGTTTAAATCTTTATTTAAATCCACGATAACGGGAAGCTGCGTAAACGATATCTTTGCAATACGAAGTGCATTTTGCTCCGTAAAAGTGACTGTCCATCGAGGAGATATGATTGCGCATTGGTGTTTTGTCTCGCTGTTATGTTATGGATTCGTCGTTCAAACAAACAGTCTATTTCGCACACGTGGACTGTTCCCTCCGAGAAACGATCCCAATTTACTGGTCGTAAGTGAAATGATATAGAAAAATGCAAATTCTTTTTTACAATAAAGTACGCAATGAATTTAATCATGAGAGTTAATCCCTCGACTTTAAAGTCGTAAACGTATTGCAAATTAAAAGCGCAATTTTTAATAATAAAACTCAGAAAATCTCAGAACTTTCATTACTTTATTCATTTTTAACAATAAAACTCATAAAATCTCAGAACTTGCATTAGTTTATTAATTACAAATTAAATTTAATTGTTAAAATACTCAACTTTTAATCAGCTGTTATCTTTTAGTTTAATTATTATTGCTTAATTATCAATTATACTCTAGCAAATTATATGCCGTTACTTTTAGGAAGATAAAGTAAGACAGAGTGGCTATCCCTTTGAACTTCACCACGTAACAACTAAAGATGGGTACATATTGGCTGTCCATCGGATACCCAATCGTTCCAATAAAACGATTGAGAATCATCGAGTGGTGTTGATCATGCACGGATTGTTGGGATGCTCAATGGATTGGCTGATAACGGGTCGAAATCGATCAATCGGTATCAGATCAGTTTTACGTTCAAGCCTCTTTTAGCTTATAGATTTTAATACAATTAAAAAAAATTGCCTTCAATATCGTTGTTAGCTTATCTTCTGGCTGACAATGGTTACGACGTGTGGCTTGGTAATTCCCGTGGAACCACGAACTCGAAGAACCACACAATTCTTTCCATACAAAACGCTCAATTCTGGGACTTCAGGTATCGCGAAACTCTGGAACGCCCTCCCGCATCTCGTTTCTCATCTTTCTTGCGACAAACGAAACTGTCGCAACTTAAAATTTGATACTCGCAGGATTTTCTTCATTTCCGTAGGATTAACTGCAAAGAATTAATGATGAAATCATGCATGTATATAAGTTCGCTCAATCGCGTTCAATTCAAATCGATCTTAATGATTGTTGAATATTATTTAGCACTTAATTGGTTTTGCACACAATAATCTCTATTATATGTATATTATATAAATATTAATCAATTGCAATTCTCTCGGGAATATTCTATTTAGCTGGCACGAGATGGGGATGTACGATTTGCCCGCTATGATAGACTATATATTGTACCAAACCGGCCAACAGCAGCTGTTCTACGTAGGCTTTTCTCAAGGAACAACGCAATTTTGGGTTCTTATGTCCCTCAGGCCGGAATACAACAAGAAAATCAAGCTTATGTCCGCTTTAGCCCCCGTGGGTTATACCGGACACATTCAAGGTCTGATGAGACCCGCGAGTTTCTTCGCGAATCTTTTTAAGGTAAGGACAGCTATAAAAAACATTTTCCGAAACTGAGACTTGAAGGAAAAAATGTAAATAACCAACGGAAGCCAGTATTTTATACATAAACGGAGTATAATCACATTGTCTGCTACTTTTCCTCTACGAACGAAACTATAATTATATCATTACTTATGTAAAATAAAACCTTTACATATATTTAATGTACAACTGGAACTGTCTTTTCGTTGAGAAAAATTGATGACAAAATATTTTTATTGTACGTTCTAAGGAATAATTAAATTAAAGAGAAAAGCTGATCCCGCAAAGCTTATATTCCGTATAATTATCGTATCCGCTTAATTCGTCAGGGATTTTACAAGTTCACCGGATATTTCGAACTTTTCGCGAATACAAGACTAGAGAAATTTTTAACGTATTCGTTGTGCCGAGAAGACGTTTTCACTCAACCCTTCTGCGAGCTGCTTGTACACATGATCGGAGGTTTCAGCGTCAACGAGACGGATTACGTAAGTTATCGTCATACAAGCTGTAAAATCGACTCCGAGCTAAACGTGACTCCGATTCGCTTACGTGAGGTAACGTTACATATTTTCAGGCGCACATGGCAGACTATCTGCAGTTCGCGCCGGCGGGATGCTCGTACAAGCAATTGGTTCATTATGCGATGGGCATTCAAAATCCAGGTAATCAGTTTCTCTCAGAGGGTTCGACTTTTAATTACAAGCTTGTAGGATCAAAGGTCCTCCTAACTACGACCTTTCAACCGAATCGCTTCTTTTGCAGGACATTTTCGGCCTTACGATTACGGCATCCTAAAGAATCTCAGATTTTATAAGCGATTTGTACCGCCGGAGTACCCCGTGGAAAAGATCACGGCCCCAGTGATCTTGTATAACGGCATGAACGATTTCTTGGCTCATCCAAATGTAATTAAACGTTATTTTACTATTGTATAATGTGTAACACACACATGAAGAAAGATACTCTGTCGCTTTTTCAACTATACTACGTAAAAATTCCAAGTTCGCACACCTTGTTTCATTGTATCGTATTATTTATTTTAGGACGTTGAGTTATTGAACAGAAAATTGCCGAATATCTTGGAGAAATACACGGTGACGTTAAAGCGATTGAATCATTTCGATTTCGTATACGGTCTACACATACGAGATCTCGTCTATGATCGTCTGATCGAAAAGATGAATTCCATACCGTAAAAGTAAAGCGCAGATTCTCGAATATCATTTATAGCAGACCCTGCAAACGGTATGGTTTAATCGTAATTTATGTATTCTAGATACCAATTTGAATCGAACGCCTAACGATCTTTGCGGGTCCAAGACGCATGGGGTTGCTTCGGGAAAGACACGAACCACTTCACCTATTTTCCATCAACTTTATTTCACGTTCGTCTTTCTTGTAATCGTATAAATTTTGATTACGTGTGCCTTGTTTTTTTTTTTTTTTTTTTTTTAGAAAAGAAAGATAGACTTTTGTACATTAGAGCGATTAATATTAGACGCATCTATAACACATAGCCATTAAGTATTACTATTTATTATTATGTATTGTTACGACTTTTTTATACACTATCTGAGAGAAGAGATTGAACGTGATGCATGTTCAAAAACTGTAACTGTACCACAATGCTGTGTATGTTGACGAATTGAATCATAGTGAAACGTTGAAGCCGAGCGGAAGCCAGTGGAAGATGCTGAAACAAAATAAAATTTCTAGGACTCGTGTCGATAACCCGGCGCGGATTCAATCTACAAAATTATCGATCAGTTACTTCGAATTAGGTCGAATAATGCTCTTTATCAAGTTCACACAAAGCATTCCTTTTTCTCATTAAAATTAAAATGTATTTACCGTTTCACTCGTATACGAATCATACGTTATTGAAGTGCCTTTTGATTATATAATTGCAACGCTTATTTGTACGTGTATAATTTAACATTAGACAATATGATAATTTTGATACATAAATAAAAAAAATTTGCACACATGATCTTGCTTGGAATAATTTTGTACAAAATAGAGAAAAGATATTACTGCAAAGTAATTTCTATCAAAATTTTTATTTGTATCAATATGTTGAATAAGATTTATTACAGCGATATTTCTTTTTTTTTTTGGGCAAAATTATCCCAAAAATGACGAAGTGTGCGAGTTTATTATTCACCCCCGATAAATAAGAATCCGCGTCTGAATACTATCGACAATATTTATTAGTCTTCACTATATAAAGATGCGCGCGTTTTTATCAAATTGCGAGAGTCTTATAATTCTGATATCTAAAAAGATGGTTGGAAAATAAAAATCCTAGACTCGTTTTAATTTGCTATATTTTCGCATGGAATAATTGCACTTTACGAAAAAATAAACGATAGTTTTTTTTATTAGTAATTACATTTTGTGAATGATATATACTTTTTAAATGTTCTGACAAAAGGATTATGGATTTGAATTATGCTGTTCTTTACTTATTTCACTGCAAGATTTATCCTAATGATTCTCTCAGAAAGCGGTTAGTAATTCATTTTTTCGCAAAAAAATGAGATAATAACTGCCTATCATTTGTGTTATCTTGTCACGTACGAATTACATAAAATTATTATGCGTAAAAACGCATGTGACTAGTTAATAGTTACTTGGAGATATGCAATATCGATAAACGTAATTTTAAAACGAATAGGAAAATCTTAAATATTAAAAATTAGTGGAATATATAGATTAGATTGAAGAAAATCTAGAAATTTTATATTACATTGATAATAAAATGTCTACTTGAAAAAAATGTTTTCTGAGGAAAATCGTTCATTCTAAAGACGCTCAATAGATAGGAATGCCAAATTAATGCTTGTTAATCTTGAGTGCGTCTCGATAAATCGTAAATCGTGATAATCATAAATCATGAATTTAATACACTTTTATTTCTTACAACTAAATCTAATAATGAATCTGTATCATAACATATCTATACAAACTCTACGAAGTGATCAAGTAACTTTATTGCATATAAATTGCTATTACCCTCAAAAAAAGATTGAGCAAAAATTTCACTGTTCTTTCATAATAACAAATTATATTCTTTATGAATAGTTTTACTATCACAATATAAACTTCGATTGATAAAAAACTATATAATGAAGAAACGAAAATATATATTCGTCGATCTGTAATTATTTCGCGCGCGCATGCAGTTAAGAAAATAATATTCAAATAACAAGGAACAGATAGAAAGCAAAAGTTCCTTGCCAAGTACCACAGACTTCTGCACCATACTGAAGCGCCATAATTTATGTATAATGTACAATCTTAATTACTGCACCAGATGTCAAAAGATATTACATAAACGCTGCAATAAATGAGAGCCAAATGCGCGACAATATAACAAAAAAAAAATCTTGTTAGTCTACATAACAAGCGGCAAGCTTGTCAAAAATAATGTATCACTGCTTTTCCCGTATTTTTCTGTTAAAGTTACAATCAGAATAAATATACAACCTTGGGCTAGGAGCAGGTCCTGACCTCAATTCCTGTATCGATGTGACGACTTCTTACCATCGCGATGGCTCGACTTGGATCGTGATTTTCTACTTCGATCCCGCGACCTGGACCGACTGTTCCGCCGTTGGCTCCTCCCAGAAACGTAGGACCTCGATCGTCTGTGGTCTCTCGAACGGCTGCGCGATCTCGAGCGCGATCTTCCGCGTTTCGCTACTCGCGACGACTTGCTGCGCGACCGGCTGCTCCGCCGCCTCTCTCTGGAATGCGAGCGAGATTTCCATCTGCGGGAGCGCGATCGCGAGGACCACTTCCTATCGGTAGACGTGGTCGATCTGGAGCGTCGATAGCTACGCGAACGCGATCTCGCGCGCTTCCGATCGCGCGACTGCGAACGACGCTTTCTGCTTGATCTATGATCGCTGGAGGACCGCGAAGACCGCGAGCGATAATCCTTGCGCGACTTCGCCGATTTCGAGCGCGACCGCCGTTTGTGGTGGCCGCCACCACGTTCGGACGAACGCGACGACCTGGTGGACCGTCTGCCACTCCGCGATTTGCTCCTGCTCTTCGACTTCCGTCGCCGGGTGTAACGCTGCTCGCGCTGCTGTTGCTGCTCGCGCTGCTGCGACTGCTGCTTGCCCGAGCGCGTTTTCTCGTGCTTCTTGGATGCGGACTCGCGGCTCGTCTCGGACAAGCTGCTCGTAGACTCGCTGCTGCTCGACTCGGAATCGGGGGAACCTGACACGGTGCTGCTCGCCTTCGGTTGCTGGCCGTCGGCCGCCGGCGCGTTCTGCGGCGCCGCCGTTGGACTTTGACCGCCGCTCGACAAAGTTTCGGACGCTTCTCTTTGATTATCTACCGTTTCTTTTTCATCAACTAAAGTATGACGTCAGGAAGTTACACTTAGTCTCCGAGCGGCCACATACGGGTGGGTTGTCTGTCGAAACATACCTGTCTCCCGGCAGCTAGTATTACCGGTATGATTTTCCTGTTGCTTATTACTGTACTGTTCCTCGCCGCGTTGCTCCTCCTCCTCTTCCTCAGCGAGCCGCGCCTCGATTTCCTCCTCCGTCTTGCGGAACGCCTGCTGTCGTCGTCTCAGCGTTTCCTGCGAAATCGGCTCGTAAAACGGTGTTGTCACCTCGACGACGCGAGCACGAGCTAACGTGACGCGTGGTCAAAAACAATTCTATAACATATTTCTTTACCTTCAATTCCTCATCGCTGTCGTCGTTTTGTATCTGCGCGTGCTCGCTCTGCTCCTCCTCGGACTCGCTGTTACTGTCGTTATAGATGCTCAGACCTACGGCAAACAGAGCCGGAAATTACATCCGTTCAGTGCGTTCGCGGCGTCACGGCATTCTCTCGGCGTCGGAGTGACGAAAAGAACACAAAAAAAGGAAAAAAAAGCGATATGCAAATCTCGGCTTCGGCTAAATTGTCTCAGCCGTTACTTTCGTCAAGAAATGTCCTGAGAACGAACGAGAGAGAGAAAGAGAGAAGTACTTCTCTCGGTTGCGGCGGTAAACAATCTCTATGATAGAACGGTCGAGTTAACATCGAATTGAACTTCAATGCGTGCGTAACACGCAGTGACCCGTGTCTCTCCTCTTTTCTTTTTCTTTTCTTTTCTTTCTCTCGTTTCTCTCAACGAGTCACTGCATCGTTCACGGCTGTTCCCTACGGATATCGCCGTGCGTTGTAATAAAGTGCGTTAAAGCGTACTCACCGAGTGATTTGTGAGTGATCTGAGCAAGAGGGGCCATGTTGAGGGATGCGACGGGGATCTCTCCTGCAGGGACTTACAATACACACGCATTTAGTAACCAATCCCTAAAAGTGTGCTACCGCACACGGATAACGCCCCCGATAATACCGAATGGCTCTTATTAATCAGCCCATTCGCGCAAGGAGGGCTAACCGTCCCTTCGTCCCTTCGCTTCCTCCCATGTACCTTAAGAAATCTTTATAGCATTATTTCACACTTACAAGTTGAACTATAGTTATTCTAATGTCCTAAAAAGAACTAGTCGACATTGCGCGATTTGCTACGCGGCTTGTAACTTTTATTGTCGGAACTTCGGGAGATAAAATCCGCAATGCTCGAAACGAAGTTGTTAGAGATACTTATAAAGAATTGGATCATAGCTATGTGTATCTTTAGATGTATAAAAATCAAACGGTAAAATATGCCCATGATGTAAGATGGGTATTGACGTATATTTTTCGTTAATTATATATTAAATATTACTGGCTAAATTAATATCTAGGCGTCCTTATTAAAACAAGCTCCGATTATAGATTATTAAAACACTGTGTTTACATTATGATACAAAAATATATAATATTTTAGAGTTTCTTTATCGTAGAGATGTATCGCGAAAGAGATCATTGCCAGGCATATGCCGGTACGTAAAAATGTCTCGTAATACAAGACGATTACGTAATCAAAACGAAAGAGAGATATGTGCCTTACGCTACACGCAAATCCCTGAAAACGCAAAACACAGGATGTCCTGAAATTGCCGAATAATTAAGTCTACATATTAAGATATCTCTGTTTAATGCTTTCAACTTTGTATTACACAATCGCACAGCTTCGTCGCAGCATGGCGCGGCGAGTAGGCTCACTGAATCGGATTCTGTGCTCCGACGAGCAAAAGCACGGAAATTCAATTGGTTAGTTCTATCGTGTGTATCTGGGGTACCTTTGGCACGTGCGCGGCTCCAAACCTCCCTGCATACCGCGCCAATCTCTTCGTTCGTCACTTCTAGAAGTATCTCCGTCAACGATCTCCTTACTTTCAACATCTGCGTAAACGACGAAAGACACGATGCAGTCCACGCGGTATCATGAAATTAATTACAATTAATTATGTTATAATAATAATATGAATAAAAATTTAATTTAAATTGATTGTATTTTCTCGGACAATGTTTAACTTCAATATTATTTCAATAACAATAATTCAGAATAATTCCGTTTACCACATCCTGTAAAATTTCCTCCCGAGACCGCTTTTGCACGATCGGGACCGTACTAGCCGCAGAGAGAGCAGTCGGGCTCTCATCGGGGCCCGTATGAGACTCGGGCGAATCGGCGTCCCTGAATCGCGATCTTCGCGGCCGTACAACGATATCCGGAGTGCGATCGTAGCTCTTTTCCGCAGACTGCTGTCCGCGTGCGTTACCCGCGTCGAGATCCTGCTCAGTTTCCTTCTCCGAGTCTGAATCCTGTGAAATAACAAGTGTGCCAATCATGTAATTTCACCGTCGCGAAATTCGCGAAACGAATCGAACTCGTCGCTTGGGTAACGTAATTCAATTAATGCTTACAAATTTACTCTTGCTGGGATTGAGCACCGCGCGCGCCTCGTCTTCCGCCTGCTTGCGAGCTTCTAACTCCTGCTTTCTCAGTATCTCTAACCTTTCTCTCTCCATAGCTTTCTGCTTCTCCTTTTCCATCTTCTCCAATCCTTCGCGGATCCACGCCGGTAACTGTCTCCGTTTTGCGGCATCTAAACAGAATCAATTAGCAGCTACATGTAACTAATGGCTCGCATTGAGATTATCATATATTTGTCAGTTGAATCACCTTTGAATTGTCAGCTTTAACAACTGTATTATTATTGTCTATTATAATTTTTACCTATAGTCGTAGTGGTATCCTCTTCCGGTGGTGTCTTTTCTCTGTCATCTCGACATCGAACGGGATCCATCACCCTCATGTGAGGTCCTCTACTCGCATGCCTGATACCCTTCATGAAAGGAAGCGGCTGTGGCGATACTGCATTAGGCGGCTCACCGGACCAATAGTTAGTAACCTGATGAACATATTTAATAAGGTACTTAGCGGGGTGACACGTGGATATGTTACTGTAGTTGCCTTGCAATCGAAAGGTCCTGGGTTTGATCCTGATTCTCATTCCACATATGGCTTGGGTTTTACAAGAGATTGAGGAGTTGAAAGTTGTGAACAGTAAATTTTGGATTACTATTTTAACAAGATATAAGATTTCACAGAGATTTCATTTTCCTTTATTTCTTTACCTGATTAAACGGTTGTCCGGATGGCACCGAGTTGTACGAGTACAGCGACGGCGCGGGAGGAGGTGTGTTGAAATCAGTAGTGGTCGATATCGTTGGTGCAGGTGGTATGACCGGTACAGCCGGAAGTCCGATCGGCTTGCCATCGGGATCTACGGTAACTCCCGGCGGAGGTACCCCGCTCCATTCCCAATTGCCGGTTCCGGATGTCGAGGTGTTCCAGTGACCCCATTGGTTCCATTGAGTCCAGGCTTCTGTTCCGATCGCAATAAAACATTTCTCTCATTATCTAATTTTGATAGCAATCCATTATTCGTATTAAAACCACCAAAGTCGTGTGTTCTCTCTGACCAGATCCACTGATGTTTGGCGCAGGTGGTGCAGGAGGCATGTCGTCGTCCTTGGTATCCATGTCCATCGGTGCCTCGCCGCTACCATCATTCGCAGAACATATGGGATTTATGTTGGGTGGCGGTGGAGCCGGGGGGACCACGGTCTCCTTCATCTTTATCCACTGCTGTGCCAGAGCCGCCCAATCCACTGTTCCCAAATAAACATATGTAAAATTCATGCGTTACTAATGGCGATTTCCATCACTTATGTTACTCTGTACCAGTGTACATTAAGAAGGGCTGTTGTACATGAAGTTACTTATCGATGAATCCATAATAAGACGTCTATCAGAACAATTGACAAAACACCAAATGTTGACGTCCGTTTGAACGCACATTGGACCCTTTGTCCATCAACCTGTTATATGTCATTTGTGTTTATATTTTGCTTTTACACATATAGGCTGCGGTCCACTTGACGCTACAAATGCTTCAGAGCGTTCTTCTTCCCCTTCTTTCTTCATTGAAAGAAAAGAGAAGAGGAATGCTTCGAAGCATTTGTAGCGTCAAGTGGACCGCAGCCATAGGTATCTTCATGTATTAAACGTATAGAACTCAATTTAAGGACCGAGTGATATCTTAATGAAGCACCGGAACAGAGTCAGTGCAAAGTCCGCGGGTCACATTCGCTGTAAACCGCGGGGGCTAAAGCTTCGTCACTCAGGGGAGGGAAAACTACCTTGATCGTTACTCATGTTCTGATAAGCCGAGGGATTGAGCGCCCACTGAGTCGGATAGTCCTTCTCCTCGAACATTTCCCCGCTCATCTTCATCTGCGGAGGCGCGCGGTCAGGATTCCAAGCCAGATTGAGCCTTAACCTACCACAGCGAAAACCATAGTCCGACTCGAACCCTTGCCTTGACGCCACTTGCGAAGCGAGCTCCGAAAACGAAACGCGCCGCGCGAAAGGGGAAGACGGCGTCCTCGCCCCGACTTCTCTTTTCCGCTCGCTCGCTCTCTCTTTTTCTCGCCGACGATGTCTCGAGTGTCTCGACAGGCTTGACAGAATCCTGTCCGAATGTCCGAATACTCCGAATGTGCGTCTCTACACTTCTACAGCTACAGCGCGAAAGGTCAGCCGGTGCACCACTATACCGTGTGCCCGGAAAATTCACGAACACCGTCGTCGTTACTGTCCGGATATGCGTCCGCTCGCCGCGAGCGACATATATCGCCTAAGGACGACGATGAGGAAGTCCCGGGATCTCGGCCGACTTTACGGAACGCGATCCCGGGATCCAGGCGACATTCCGCAACGCACCCGAGGACACTCCGCCGGAGAAGTATCAAGCATCTTGCCGCGTCCCGCAGCGCCAACGAAGCACCTCTCCCGGTCGCCGAGTGCCGAAGTTGTCACTTGTCACTCGACAGTGCCGCCAAAGTGAATCGGACTAATCGGACAATTCGGACATCGAACGCGCCCAATAAAAAGAAACACCGTCTCTCAAGTCCCGTTCGCAATTAGTGTTCGATTTGCTTTGTAATTTTCCTTCATTCTTCGATAATTATTATAATTATCACACGCATGGATAATGAAACTCGGATGATAATAATAAAATTGCAGTTTTTAATGAAAATTGAATATTATCGGGCCCTAAATATTATACATGTCTAAAAACAACTGCCATGGATAATAAATTATAAAATTTGTATTATATTATGAGTTAATTGTCTAAATTTTAAGTCGCACAAACTTCCTAAGATTGTCAGTCTTCAGTAGCTCGTCAGTGAATTAAAATTTTTTTCCGAATAAATTACCGCGCGACTGTCGGATCGTTTTGCGAACGCATCCGATCCGGAAGAGCCTAACCTAATCCGTCCTCCGTCTGCCCTCGGCCATTTTGCTCCCTGCGAGCCAGTGACAGAAATTGTTGCAGACGGCGGTAAGTTGCGTGGTATTGACATCAACTTCTCCCGACGAATTCGGTCTTGACGCGATTACGTAATCGAACCTCCGTGACGGATCTCTTCCGTCGCGCATTTCCGCTCTCAGGCTAGTCTCCTTATCAGTTAGGTAATTCACTCGCACGCATCGTATCCGATCTTGGAGCAAGGCATTCTTCTGAGAATATTGACGTTTCTCGGTGAAGAGTCCGCCGGCGCGATATACGGAGGCAGATATCTTGGTTGTGTTTGTGCCGTTTGACAAATAATTCTGCGATACAATTATAGTAACATGTATATAAATCTCGCAAGATGCGTATAATCGCGCTGAATTGGCAGATAACTCGAGGGTACCCTCGTCAAAATTCGACGTAGGGCGACTCGCGGTATCGTGACTTAAACGGGAATTTTAAGTGTTATATAAATCTCCGCATATCTCGTTCAATGATTAGATATCGAATTTTGTGTATGGAGTAATTGTCTCGCATGTCAGTACTGATACTTTGATACTCATCTATTTTCTGTTGTATCTTTGCAGTGAACAATGGCAGGCAGACTGTTTGCGAGTCGCTTGCGACCTGTCGTTCAAGTCCAAAGATGCGGGCTGATGACCATGGAGAAGGTTGGTAACAGGGATGTGGTGGGCTTCGGATACAATGGCGAACCCACTTACTTGGACAGAGTAGACTTCCCTTGCCCTGCGGTACGCTGGAAGGAAAACAGCTCTGATATCATGGTGAGAAGAGGATAATGGAAGTTAAAGTCTCACGAATCATCGCTAAATCACAATTGTCAAATTACCATGTCTCTTTCGTCAGGCGTTGAGAGAGAAGGAGAAGGGAGACTGGAAGAAGCTGTCGATCGAGGAGAAGAAGGCTCTGTATCGCGCGAGTTTCCGCCAGACGTTCAGCGAGATGGACGCGCCGACAGGAGAATGGAAAGGCATCATGGGAATGGCCCTGCTGGTAGTGAGCGCTGGCATGTGGCTGTATCTGTACTTTAAGGCATTCGGTATGTTTCCTGCGTCTCGATTCGCGTCGCCGAGAAACCGCTGATTTAATAAAACCGTTGTCTCTTCTTTCAGCTTATCCACCCTTGCCTGAAACATTCTCGCTAGAAAGACGATTGGCACAGTTAGACCGTATGAAGAAGCTCGACATGAATCCGATTGACGGACTCTGCGCCCGAAAGTAGAATAGCGACTGAGCAAATTAAATTTACTCTGCTATTAATTACTTAGTATCATTATGTACAGTATCTCGTTCTGTGGGCGCTTGTATATATGTACAAGTGGCGAATTTTTAATAAATGCCATGTGGTTACATTAGAGCGCTATTAATATATTAAATTACGTTGCTGTTAATTTATTTTTATAATATATTAAATTATGTGTGACATAAATATAAATTAATATGTTAAATTACTAAAAATTAAATATAAATCGCTCAAATGTAGGACTCGATTGAAGAAAAAGGTAAGTAAGATTTATTTCGTTTCTGTACATCTTTCACACACTTTGCCTCGGGTTGAACGTGTACAAACTTACGAGTAGATACGTGTAAGTACAAATCGCTGCCAGCTCGATGATTTCTGAATTATACGATTTAGCTCGCATAGTCGCTATCTCACTTTCCTTTCTCCTCGCGAAAGCGTTTTTTTTATTTAAAAAAGAAAGATTACTAAAGCACGGGTAACTGTACTGTTGCCCTGTGCTTTTGGAAAATTCGCAGTTACACAGTTACGAACTTTCAGTAATGAGTACGCGCTAGTTAAATATCTTTACAATCTCAATGTAACGACAGTACAATTCTACAGAGGTAAAACAGCATTATTGATCGCGTTACATCGTTACATTATTGCTTATTTAAAAATATACTCACATAAATATTAATATACATGACTATCAAAATTTTTTGGAAAATACAGAGTATTATATTGCTATCGAGAAATTTACAAACGGTCTAGCTGGTCTTAAACGATGGCTATATACGAGGTAAAATCACTCTCCTTAAAAAATACAAACAAGAAATAATTAAGATCAAATATCGGCATCATTCATATTTATTAAACTTTTTTTCATCTTTTTTTTTGCGTTTTTTTTACAGACGGTCCGATAGTCGTTCGGGAAATTCGATAAATATGAGTGATTACGAAGTTTCGTTATCAAACTTTCAATGATTACGAAATTCTGATATTTATAAAAAACACGTAATTTGTTGAGGATCACTAAGCGATAATAATAGTTTACATAGTTTTAAAAATGTAGTATGGCTTTATATAATGCTTTACAGTAACATTTAAATTATATATTTATATATATTTATATATATCTTTAAGCAATTGACAATTTAATTATTAAATTCAATCACAGCGTACAATATTACATATGAAAGAGTTTTAAGTTAAATAATATACACAGAATACTGGGTGTTATATATAATTTAAAAAGATATCAGAGCTAAATATCCTCAATTCACGTGGCTAAATTAAAGAATTGCAAGGATAAATCTTTACATCACACATTAAAAATCGTTGAACACAAAAATGCAGTGGCACCAGAAAGGATTTTGATCTGATGTCGTTGAAGAGATTTGCTGCGGTAAATATTCTATTTCTGTCTTATTAATTATTGCGTCAACGGAATGTAATATTTAATAGTGAACTATGATCTACCATGATCGACAAACGTAACATACGGAGCTTTTAAGTAATGTCAAGGCCTTTTCGCGTATTGTCATATACATAAGTTTCATCAAATGCAATGTAAGATTCATAAATATCAGATTCGTTTTTTCCCCTTTGTATAATACAAACGTGATGTTCTATTTCAATTATCTGATATAAAAATAATACATCATTGTTCAGAGGATATTAAGAATTACGAACTAACATTAAGAAACTGGCGTCTCTGTACAAAAAAAAAATAGATAAAGCTAATTTGCAAAAGAAAAATTGTTGCTACGAAATAGACTGCGAAGATTCGAAGCGTTGTCATCACTCTGTCTCGATAATAAGCTATTTTTAAAAAATATTGTTATTCAAAATCTTAATTTTTTTTTTACCATCGTATTTACTCGCGCGTAAACCTGCAATTTTATTAAAATCTGAAAAACATACCAAAATCTTTAACAACAATATATTTATGCTTTGTAGAGGAAAAAAACAAAAAATAGTATACTTTTAAATAGATATGGCTTTATCCGCGAATTTTTATGATAAAATTACTATAATAAACACTTTTAAATATTTATAAGTTAAAAAAATTTAGTAGGTAACTCTTAGATTTACTTCTCTATCATGATGTATATTACAATATGTACATTGGATAAGTCCCAATATCACCAAATTTTCTGTCACCCTCTTGTTATAAGAATATAGTTTCGTATAGAAAACTAAGTTTTTTGTCGTCACTATCAGTGTGTTTTATAGTTTTGTGTTGAGAAAAACGTACTATAACTTATTATCGTCTGTATACTATTCGTACTTTAAATGTATTACTCATAGGGGGCTGTGAACACACGTACTATTGACGATGGCAATGATAAATTTTCTAATTTTTTTCTTTTTTAATGATAATTTTTAAATAATTAATGAAATATTATTACACCGGATACAGTTTATAACCTGTGCAACAAAAATAAAATATAAATAGATCCTATTTCGATTCTCGGTTCGAAATTCTGTACGTCTTTAATATATAAATTTTTGCGTACAGAGCAAAATATGATTTTGGCCAATGAGAGGAAAAAAAAAGAAATATGTATGTATATGCATATATGTATAGCTACTGCTTGGGCATTCTTGTTCTGCATAAGAATCATAAAATTTCATAAACTGTTGGTTCTCTCAGAACCGTAAACGTTGTGCCCTTCTGTACATTGAGCCGAAACTGAAAGCGAAGAGAATTCGTGTAGGATGATTCAGTTATTACATGACCGACCATTAATCGCTGTTTTTCTATCACACAGTTATGATATTGAGCTCTCTACTTAAGTGACGGAAGTAATGTCCGAAATTATCGTGCACGTTTCATCACCGTACACAATCTCCGGTCCCGCGTTGCATCGTACAATGCTTCTTCCTCTTCATTGAGTTTGGCCTAGAGCTTGGACTGTGACTAGTATTGTTGCTATTATTACTATTGTTGTTTCCATTACTGTGGAGTGCATGCTTGGTCTTGTTCTGACCAACTATATTATTGTTGATGCGATGATAACTGCCTTTGAAACTCTGTTGATGATTGGCTGCAACAGAGAGACATCGGCAAAATAACACGCGTCAAACGTGAAAGTTTCCGTCGAATGTTATATATTCATGTAACAATCTCATCGAAATTTTTTGCAGCAACTTCGTAAGATACACAGGAAATGAACAGAATCGATTGACTGCCGTACCATGAGTGGTCGCTTTGAATGCTTTTCTTCCAGAATAATTGTAGATTTGGTGACTATTGTAAACGTGCCTATCTTTGTTTTTGTCATTTTCGTTCTTCCCGCCAGTGTTCGGAGAATTGCCACGACTACACTCGGAGTCCTTGTAAATAAATTCAGAATTAAAAGCGGTTCTATATTATTATACGTTTAGCAGTTACGCTTCGAACTCTATTCAATAAATTACAGGATACGAAGCAAGATCAAGTGAATTAGAAACATTATTGTATACAAGGAAATTAGTGTGTATGAAGATAATTATAAAGATAATAAAGATATTCTTTTTGAAGACATGTATATACCGTATCACTGGCGGGAGCTGAAAGAGTGGATGCATCAGAACCAGTTGAGCTTGACAGAGAGTCTCCTTCGCTTACGGACAAGGGGAATGTATCTTTGATCCACTTACGATAATCTATTACTTCATCGGTCACACGGATTATTCTTCCCAGTATGCTGCATATAATGCAAAAATATCGTTTGTTGTTAATTTTCAGTACCATAAAAAATATAATGTTGTACAGGATGAGATGAAATAGGAGGAACAGATTTTAAAGAGATAATGCAAATTTTACCTTACTTTACTGGCATCATTAATTAAGATATTTGCGGGGTTGACCGTTTGAGAAAGAATACAATAGGCCCAATTAAATGCACTCTTTACATACAAAGCACCGTAACTACTACGGCCGATATCATTCCCAGGAGTGAGTGGGTCTTCTATGCACAGCAGAGATGGTCGATGACCATCAATCATATCTCGCTGAATCTGTTAATTAACATGTATAATTAGTGCTAAAGTTCCACTATATAGAATCTCATATTGTACTATAATATAAATTTAAATATAAACTGTTGTTATACCTCTTCTTTGGATATGTAAATACCGCCATCCTTTACACGAATGCCAGTCTTAACATAGTTGAACTTTCTACCGTATAACTCCAGAAATTCGATCAACAACACTCCCAAGTTGGTGTTTGGACAATGAATATCTTTTCTCGGATGTAACTAAAGTAATAAAATCAGTTAATTAGCTTTGGCCTCAAGAAAGTTGTTACAATAATGTGATTCCAGTATTGTACTCACTTGTAAAAAACTGATGGTCATAAGTATTAAACTGTACGAGGATATACCACCGGTGAACACTTCGTTAAGATCTCTTTGTAGTAGAAACTGCTTCAACACTATGACTAGCTTCTCCAGAACTGGGTATTGCGTCTTGAAGGATTTTATCAACTCGGCGGATTTGACGCCGTTATTCATGTTGAAACTAATATCCACTTTAATCTCACTTTCTTTATCGATCAGTTTAACAATCGGCACGCTGGCCTTGTCCAACACTTTAACAGAAGACGGCTCAGCGATATTTTGATCTAGTAAAGCACGTTCCAAAGTACGCAATGGAAGATTTGTCCACATCCCTATTACTACCAAATCTATATCACTGCAATAACAGGAAAATATCAGTGTATTTCATGGTACATTACACAAAACATCTCTCTCAGGTTATATATTTTTTTACGAATGCATAAGGATACCTACCTGGTAGGCAAATATAAACCAGTGCGAAAACTACCAAATACTTCGACTTTAGAGTCTGGCCAGAGATCATAAATTACATGTTCTATTCTTTTTACAACTCTCAATCTTAATAAATGCTCTTCTTGCGAGGGGCACATATATGCGAAGAAATCTTCTATCTCCTCGTGTAATCTAAACAGAGGGAAACTATTCAATGCCTAGTATTACCGAGTCAATTTTTCGATATCTTTAAAGTGATCCGATAAAATATGCAAATACAATGTTCGACTTAACAAATTCCTAAAAACATATAGCAATAGAATCTCCGTTGTTTGAGGCAACTTTGTGCAAGGCAAGGTACTAGACATGCTTCATGACGTCCTACATTCGAATACTGGATATGTGTTTACAGTTTATTTATGATGAGTCAAGGATACCAATAACTTCAAACTTTTTGCTAGTTATAGGCTTTATTTGTAAACTAGAGAGAGAGAGGGGGGGGGGGAGAGTGTTCCACGTAATACGCAAGGACCTCATCCATGCTGTATGTTCTTTTTCGAAGAACTTCCTGAACTGGTGTACATTCGCGCGATAAGTTAGAGTGAAACAAACTACACTCGTCTCATTCTAACACTAGCGCGCACCAGTTCAGGAAGTTGTTCGAAAAAGAACAAAGCTTGTGTTGTGTCGTGAAGAAAGGCTCTCTCGCAACCACTCGCAATAGACAATAGAGACAATAAAGAGGCAATATTTGAATTCCAAAAGGTCGCTCTAAGCTCTAAGTCATTATCCCCTACTACTCCTTAGAAATCTCGTCAAGTTTTGGATGGAAGCGCCCTGTTAAAGCGGGCGCCCAACATAACCTAACATGGACAGCCATATGGACCGCGTGGCGAACCTCCCGGGTAGACGATACAGGGCAGATACTCACCCGATCACCCCCTTGGAGTAGTGCTTGTTCGGCACGCGCCAGGGACAGCCGCCGTACGCGCCCACGAGAGCATTATAATTGTAGTTCATGTCATAGGTGCTCGCCCGATTCTCGCCTTTCCTGCGGGACGGGTTGTAATAAATGTTGCAGGCATTGTGGGGCACGCGGTGCTCGCCGTTGCCGTTGCCATTGCCGGCGGCCGTGCCGTGAACGGCGGACGCGGCCCGGCCGTTGCTACCGTTGCTATTGTTGCCGGCATTGCCATTGCCGTTGCCGCCGGCGGCGGTGACGGTGAGGTTGACATTGGACGACGGCGTGGTGCCGGCCGCGGTCATCGTCGCCGCCACCGGGCTCGTGTCCAGCGCGAGAAAGTCCTGCTGCAACCGCACGCCCATCGCGTTCGTCGCGTTGCTCGTGTTGGAGTCGTTACCCGTGACGGTCAGGACGTCGAGGCCCTTCTCAGCCTCCCAGATGTGCAACCAAAGGTCCTTGGCGGGGCCGTACTGCTCCGGTTGGTACCAACCGATGGTCGGATCCATTAAATTGGCGCCGTTGAACGGGGGATCTCCGCCTCCGCCTCCGCCGCCGTCTCCGCCGTCGCCGAGCTCCTCCGAGCTGCGTTTGCGTTTGTGCCCGCGCGCCTGTGTGTGTGCGTGCGCGCGCGCGTCCCCGACGCCGTGCGTGCGTCGCGCGTCCTCTGGGTCCTGCGGGTTCCGTGGGTCCTGTGCCTGCTGTGCCGTAACTGCCGCACCGTGCCGCGCGTACGGGATGTAGGGATCGGCGAGCGGGCGGACGGACGACGCACCACCACGCACGGCACGCACCACGTCGCGTGTCACTCCCTCGGCCTCGGTCGTCGTCGTTGTCGTCGTTCTCTCTCGCTCACGCTCTTGCTCTGACTCGCGCGCGCGCGCGCGCGCGTCCTCGTCGTCGTCCGGTCTCCTCCCTCGTGCCACTGGTCCACGGGCTCGGGACACCTGTCGCGATTTCGCGCACCGTGATATCCGGCCTCCGTGTCGGTCCCGGTCGGCGAGTCGGTCGACGGACGGGCGATCGGTCGATCGTAACCTGCCAAAAGTACCAAACTGAACGAGATTCATACGCGCACACGGCCGTGGAGAGCACGACGAGCCGAGCGCTAACCCGAGATTCGCCGACGGCGCCCGATTAAGGGTGATTCTCGCGATATGTCGCGCCTCGCGCCACCCCGCGTGCCCCGACCCCGACCGGCCCGACCCCCGGCTGCGGCACCGCGCGTCGATTCGCGCGAGCGCGCTCTACGAACGCGTCCATCGCGCAGATATCTTTCGCGAATGTTCTCGAACTCACCTACTTGCGCTCACCATCTTTGCAGTCACCGTCTCATGGATCTCTCGCTAAAATTCGCGGTAGCCGTTTGCATATGCCGATCCGCTTGCTGGCGATCTTGCTGACTGCTAAGCTGAAAATTGTGTGGTCTTTGCCTAGTCACGTTGCTGATGACCGCCCCGCTAAATTTCCGGAAGGGCACTGATTCTCCATTTGTCGTACGACAAATTTTTCAAACGTGTTGATTGGCTGCGAAATACAATAGTTCTCGAGTCTCCAGAAATTTTCTATTTTGTAGGCAATCAATAACCTTAAAAAATTTGTCGTACGACAAATGAAATAATAGACTCTAATAATTTTCTTCATTTTAAATAATTTTTACCTCGTTTCAAGAGATCTGTTCGTATTGCCTGTACTTTTTGCACTTAGAATCCTCGCTTTCTCTTTCTCCAACGTCCCGTGTATATTTATTATCTCACGCTGAGAATTCTTGCGTGCCATTTTTTAATAAAAAGATATTTAAATGAAAAAGCACTTCCACTTTAAAAATGAATGCAATACGAAGATATACAAAACGGAGCAACTGTCTTTATTCTTTTTTCTTTATTCATCTTAACAAACCTGTATAATATTCCTAAAGTTTTTTGGAGGGGTGTAGTACCCTCAGCTGGCTTGTTGGGAGAGTAAAGGCATTTTCAACCCTTAAATTATTACACATTTGGATTATGTGGATTATGTGGCGCGCAGCTCTTTATCTTAGGTTTAATTAAATCATTCTATTAATTTTCTTAATAAAATTGTATTCCTAAGGTTTTTTTTATGTTCTCCAAGTGGAAATGAGGAGAAACCGCCTTCAAAACCTTCAACCCTGGACCTGGACTGCCCTGGAGCTGCTTTGAATTATTTAACCAGTATTCCTAAAGGCTGAGTGTGGGCTAGGTATGAATGGCATGATTGGGTTGGGTTAGGTGCTGGCAAGCCACGCGCGTCTTGACGTGAGCGTTATGCGAATATGCGCGCGATTCCGCTAGGTCGGACGAGGAGAAGCGGTCCTCTCCTCGTCGACGCTCCGTCCCGATGATGAGGAAACTCGTGCCGAAGATTATCCGCGGATTCGTACAATGCGCGTGCGTGACGTACTGCGTGTACGAGTACCTGGGTGACATCGTCGTGGTGAGGACGCGATGCACGCGTTTACACATTTTTCTTTCTTCCACAGTTAAATCTGACGGTTTCCTTTTCGCGAGATCAGCGATATCCGAACCCTCGTCTATCTCGAAACATTAATTGCAATGAGTTCCTAAAAAATAAGAGTAAGGCGAAATAAGACGTTTGTTTTAAAATTTTTATTTGCAACCGGAATTTTGTACGTCGATGTCGTTGATAAAAACAGAACGTTTAGGTTTTACTATATATATAATGATTATTGATTGCTGATGTAATTATAGTGCAGCGGTCCATCCATGGAACCCACATTGTACACCAATGACGTATTACTCCTGGAACGGATATCGGTTAGATTGCAAAGGCTCGAGAAGGGAGACATCGTCATCTCCAAATGTCCCAACAATCCGGAGCAGAATATATGCAAGCGAATCGTAGGTCTACCCGGTGACAGGATAAGGGACGGCTTCACCGTAACAACGGTAAATTCATCAGGATGATTTTGTGTCACATTGACTCCTTTTGTCTCTGGAGAATTGGTTGCGCTTTCGCATGTATCTCATTCCTCTACTAGTTAATCAGTACGAATTGAAAAGAGAAACATTGACAGGACGATTAATTTAATCATATTCCTTGCAGATACCTTATGGGCACGTTTGGCTGGAAGGCGACAACAGAAATAACTCTATAGACTCGCGGGTGTACGGACCGATACCTCAGGGATTGTTACGCGGACGAGCTTTATGTAAAATACTTCCGTTGAGAGATATAACTTTGTTCACGACCAAATTCGCGACCTAAATTATTTTCACGTATAACAGATATTTGTGTTAATGGAGGATGCTCACTCAACTATACTCTAGTTAGATTAATTTAAGAAAATAAAAAACTTTACGTATAAAATGAATCTTATATATAATGCAAACCGCACAGATACGGTTGTTATCCAACATATATATCGCTCCCTATTTGCTACACGATGATGTAACTCAAAAATTGTCATTTTTTAATTGTTTGCAAAAGAATGGTGAGAATTTAATGTATTGAATAAAGACCTAATATACAGCTAGATACTTTTATTTCTCTGTAATCAGTTATTACACCAAAATCGCATTTAAAAATGATATAAATTTTAATGACTCAAAACATTCACATTTATTTTTTGGAAAACTTTTTTTGAGTTATGTCACTGTTGCAGAAATGAGTGATATATAACTAAACTTTACAGATTTATACTTCCTTATCCTTTCAGAAATACATGTCCACGCTTGTTTCACTTGTTGACGTTAGTTACACCACTCGAATATATACTTTATACGTACATATATATATACACTTCTGAATCTTCTCTAGGCTGTGTATGTAAGTATCATATATATTTAATTGTATTAGAGGAATTCAAATTATTAATGTATAAATGATTACATAATTTTATACGCAAATATCTCTGCAAATAACAAATTGTATCAGCTGCAGTGAGATAACTTTGAAAAATTGTGCGTGGAAGAATACAAGATTGATAAACTAAATTTTTAGTGACTTTTAATCTGCGTGACGTATCATGTTTCAAGGTCGTGGACAAGATTATAAAGCCGGCGTGAGCGGCGTCTGCTCGCAAAGCGGTTAGTACACTCCAGGGCATCGCGATAAACTCTTTATTTTCGTAACGTAAGTGCTCGATTCCCATATATTTCAAATTAACAATGTCACGTTAACAAAGACACGTTGAAACCATTCGTGGCGTTCCTTTTTCGGATTCTGAAAAGCGAGCGTCTTTTTAACTTACCGAAATCACATATTTAAAATTTTAGTCTACCATATTTTAGGTTCTTTCGATATCAAATCATTTTGCCAGTCTCTTTTTGTGAATCCGCATATAATTCTTTTCATCTTTCGTTTTCATCGAATGTGTCGTAAAAAGGAAATTTTATGCTAAGCTAACATCGTCGTTCTTTTGCGATGGATTTAGATGACCACTCTACGGTGGGGCATCATCAGCGCGGGGAAGATCTCGCACGATTTCGTGACGGCACTGCGATCCTTGCCGGTGAACGAGCATGATGCGGTCGCCGTTGCGGCACGGCAATTGTCACGTGCGAAGGATTTCGCGAAGTTGCACGAGATCAAGAACGCCTATGACGATTATGCGAAACTGGCTACGGACAAGGATATCGGTATACAATGATTCAGTAACTGTAGCAGTATAATTTGAAATATCGCGATAAGATTTTCCTGTGTCATCAAAGAAATAACACTCAGAAAAGTATCCCGGTAATGATTGTTATTATCAACTAAATCTTGTATGCTTATATTTATTATGCTTTATTTGTTGTGTTTCAAGATATCGTGTATATCGGTGCGATTCATCCTCAACACTTCGACGTCGCGATGCTGATGCTGAAACATGGCAAGCACGTCCTGTGCGAGAAGCCGTTGACGGTGAACTTGAAGCAGACCACCGAATTGATTAATTACGCAAGGAGCAAGAAACTGTTCCTGATGGAGGCTGTGTGGAGCCGCTGCTTCCCCGTGTACGACATTATCAGAAAGGAGATTGCATCTGGCAGCATAGGCGACATTCACCAAGTGATCGTTTCCTTCGGTTTCCAAATGCCCGACCTAGATCGGATAGCGTTCGTAACGTTTATATTGGTTGTTTAGCGTTTGAAAGGAACGTGGTAGTTAATTAATTTCCAATTAATTAATTTACAGCTTGAAAGAGCTGGGCGGTGGCACGATTCTCGATCTCGGCATTTATTGCTTGCAATTCGCTTGCCTGGTCTACGACAACGAGATGCCGGAGAGCATTAAGGCGACCGGGTTTTTGAACAAGAACGGCGTCGACATGTCCATGTCGGCTACCTTGACCTACAAGGGAAGTCGCACCGCGACTATCATGACGAGCGCGTTGGTCGATCTGCCGAATGAGGCGTACATCTGCGGCACCAAGGGTACGATAAAGGTGCCGGACTTTTGGTGCCCGCCGAAGGTGGTGCTGCCGAGCGGCACGAAGACGGTGCCGTTGCCGAAATTAAAGCACGAGATAAACTTCATAAATTCCGCCGGGCTTTCCTACGAAGCTGCCGAAGCTCGCGACTGCATTCTGAAAGGTAAAACTGCCGATGCAACTCAATCGGAGAGTCTTGTCTAAATTTATAAATTATTGCGCGAATCAACGTTACAATAATGTTTTTATAATGATAAAAAGATCGATATTTTTATCAAATTGTTGGTCATAATGCAGAATATTTTATGTTTCATTCCGCAGGTTTGATAGAAAGTCCGAAGGTATCGCACGACACATCTTTGTTACTGGCAAAGCTGGAGGATGAATTGCGCAGACAGTTGGGCGTTGTATACCCTCAAGATTAAAAACCTATACATTTTACAAATAAAATACATACTTAATTTGTGCTACGATGCAACGTATGATTGTATCGCAGCACAAAAGAAAAGATTTTCACACGTCTAATCATGAGTCTTAGAACTCTTAAATTTATGTTTTCTGTTACAATGTGCAATAAATTTATAGATACTTTGTCATATTCGCTGATTAGAAATTTTTATAATCCTTTCATTTAAGAATAGAATTACGAACGTTATTAAATACAAAAGCTCGACGAATAGAGATAACTGAAATAAAGTTTCTTGTTATCCCGATTCGTCAAATTTTATGTAAAATCTCAACATTATTTCTCCAAATGTATCATCTAATTTTAGATTCTCCCCCTATTTCTTTTCCTTTTTGATAACTTTATCGTGATAACGTGTGTAGTGTGTCTACGTTACTGACGGTCACTGACGATCTGCTCGCACTCGTACTACTGCGTGCGTGAAATCTGCCCACACTGACTCTCCACTACACTCTAGTGCTTTAAACATGTTTATGCTAGATACCATCCACAAACGTGTACACATTGTGATTATTAATAGTGCACAAATTGAAAGTTTCTAGACCAAAAATTAATTGTCATGTGATGTATTTTCATTAATTACGATGTACTTTGCAATGTCATTATAGCTCTATTTCTTTTATTTGCAATACATAACTATAATAATTAAACTTTATTTTGTTGAATTAAATATAATTACACAAAAAATTTCAAACATTAATATTTCATAAACTATTGCGCATTGAACAGAGATACTGTATCTTGTATTTGTGAATCGGGTATACTGTAACTGTAACATATTAAAAATTTAGCGATATTCAAGAGTTAAAGCTTGGTTGTCCCTTTGTTAGGCGCTCCAAGTGACATTGTGTAATAGTTGAATTTCTATAACAAGGCATCACGACAAAGGAGGAGGTGGCTTGCCTCCTTCTGCAGTTTTCCCGAATTTTAATTTGTAAGAATAGTTCTTGCTAAGAGAGAAATGGAATATAGATCTGAGATACATATAGTACTTATTTATTGTAAAAGACATGGACATTAGGATCTATATAAAAATTGTATGAAATAATAAGGTTCTTAAAAAAATGACGTTTTGTTACTTTAAACAAATCTATAATTTTTACAGTAAAACACTTTTCACAAGTAAGAAACGGAAGCATATATACATTTAAGAAGTAGGTTTTTTTTTCAAGAGAATTCTATTAGGAAACGTATATTCACGTATGAATACGATAATTCTCTTCAATTTTATATAAATTCAATCAGGTTGAAGCTTATAATCTTACGCCCGGCAATAGCGTCAAGAAGTGGTGAACCATGTTCATGGGTTTCAGCAAAGCGTCCTGGTGTGTGATGCTCATGTATGCGCATAGCCAAGCGGCAGCACAGACCGGCAAGCAGCAAGCCGTCGCAAACCATCCAAGGCTCTCTTAACGTCGCCAGCACCCAGCACCCCACGCGCAGAGCAACTCCTTCACCGCGCCCATCGCCGACTGGCATGCAATGTGCCATTTTAAGTTGTTCGATTTGAAATCGGAATCTGGCGAGTTAATATGCGTCCGCTCTAAAATTAAAGTCCCGCCAATTATACGGGCAGCGATAATACCAGCGGGCACGCGACCGTCCCCCACCGCCTCGTCTTCGGCGACGAGCTGAAAATGAAATTTGCAAATAAATAATGCATAAATAGAATACTCAAAAACGCACGTGCGCATGTGTGTGTGTGTGTGTGTGTGTGTGTGAGAGAGAGAGAGAG